AATGCATTGCGTAGTGATACATCCCAGCACAATTAAGATGCAGAATGGTTCCATCACTACAAAGATTACCAGTCCTTCCCTTCATTTACTGATTTGTTCCCTGTCCCAACAGCCTTTTTGGTCTGGCTTCTTTCACTTAGCGACGGTAGATTCGAGATTTACCCATGTTGTATGTGTCTATGGTTTGTTCCTTTGTATTGCTAAGCAGTGTTCCATCATATTGGTTGTACCACAGTTTATTCGTTTATGGGTCAAGGGACATTTGGGTTGTTTCTGCTTTTTACCAGTTATAAGTAATGTTGCTGTAGACATTTGGACAGATTTTTGTGCGAACACAGCTTTCAGTTCACAGTAGGATTGCTGGGTCATATTGTAGTGGTATGTTTAACTACACGAGAAACTGTGAAAGCTGTTCATCCAAGTTGCTGTACCATTTTGCATTCCCACCAGCAGCGTATGAGAGGGAGTTCACTTGTTCCACATTCTTGTCCGCATTTGATATTGTCAGGTTTGGTGTTGTTTTTTGGCTTGTTTTTGGTTTAGCCATTCTGTTAGGTTTGTTGTGGTATCTCGTGGTTTGTATTTGCAGTGCTTTCCTGACTAATGATCGTGAACATCTTTTCATGTGCTCGTTTACTCCTTGTGTCTTCGTTGACTGTTTGTTACTATTTGTCTTTTCAGATTTTCTTGGCCATTTTCCTGTTTGGTCACTTCTCTTACTATTGAATTATAATAATTTCTTGCCTGTTCTTTGATACCAGTTATTTGATACACATATATGTACTGAATATTTTTCTCATCCTGTGACTTGTCTTTTGGTTTAACAGTGTCTTTCAAAGAGCAGTTTTTAATTTTTTTAAGTCCAATATAACAACTAGTATACTGCTCATCCTCTTTGTGTCTTAATTAAGAAATCTTTGTGTACTCCCAAGGACATGAACACTTTCTCCTATATATTTTTTAGAAGCTTTATTGTTGTAGCTTTTGTGTTAGGTCTGTGATTAATTTTGTTACGTTTTTTTCCCACATAAATACCTAATTGTTCTAGCACCATTTGTTGAAAAGACTATTCTTTCCCTGTGGAATTGCCTTGGCAGATTTGTTGAAAATCAACTGACAATATATATGTAAGAGTCTGTTTCTGGATTCTAGGCTGTTCCACTGATTTATCTTCTTCTTCTTCTTCTTCTTTTTTTTCTTTTCCACAGTCTGTCCTACATTGTCTTTATTGCTATAGCATTTTTGTAAGTCTTAAAATCAAATAGTGTAAGTAATCCTACTCCATTCTTTGGTGGAAAGATTTGGCTTTTTATTTATTTATTTATTTGAAACATAGAGGGAACATAAATAGGGGGAGCAGCAGGCAGAGGGAGAGGGAGAAGCAGGCTCCCTGCTTAGCCAGGAGCCTGACACGGGGTTAGATCCCAGGACGTCTCAGAACCTGAGCCAAAGGCAGCCACTTAATGACTGAGCCACCCAGGTGCCCCATAGATTGGGCTTTTCTAGGTCATTTGCATTTCAGTATATATCATAAAATACATATCATGTTCTCTATTTTTATAAAATATTCTGGACTTTTTATTGGATTATTATATCAGTACTTCATTCTTTTCTGTATCTGCATAATATTCCATTGAGTTGGACGGATCACATGTTTAACTGTTCACCTGTTGACGAGCATGTGTGTTTCCACTTTTTGGCTATTGTGAACAGTGCTGCTATTAATAGTTATGAGTAGCTGTTATCACTTCTTTTGGGTGTATATCTAGGAGTGGAAATGCTGAGTTGTATGGTATTTCTGTGTTCAACTTTAGAAGAACTACTAAACTGTTTTACACAGCTCTTGTACCATTTTACAGTGTGAGGGGTTCCAGTTTTTCCACGTCTTTGCTAACACTGGTTACTTTCCTTTCTTTTAATCATCACCATCCTGGTGGGTATAAAGTGGTATCTCACTGTGGTTTTGATTTACATTTCCCTAATTACCAATGATACTGAGCATCTTTTTGTGTTCTGTTTGGCCATTTGTGTATCTTCTTTGGGCAAAGTGTCTTTTCAAGTCCTTGCCTATTTTTTATTTGGATTGTTTATTATTGAGTTATAAGAGCTATTTATATATTCTGGATATTAGACTTTTGTCAGATACGTAATTTGTGGACATTTACTCCCATTCTGTAGATTCTTTTTTCATTTTCTTGATGTTCTTTGTTGCAAAACAGCTTTTAGTTTTGGGGCTCCTGGGTGGCACAGTGGGCTAAGCGTCTGAGTCTTGGTTTCAGCTATGTTGTGGTCTTGGGGTCCTGAGATTGAGCGCAGTGTCGGGTTCTAGCTCAGTGCAGCGTCTGCTTAAGTTTCTCTCTTCCCTTCCCTACTCTGCTTGCACACTCTCTCTCTCTCAAAGGAAAAAAAAAGCTTTTAGTTTTTATGAAGTCCAGTTTAGCTATTTTTTCTTTTGTTCATATTTTTGGTGTCATATCTGATAATTCATTGCCAAATCCAAGGTCATGAATATCAGCCTCCATGTTTTCTTCTTATTTTTTTTTTTTAAGATTTTATTTATTTATTTGACAGAGAGAGAGATCACAAGTAGGCAGAGAAGCAGGCAGAGAGAGAGGAAGGGAAGCAGGCCCCCGCTGAGCAGAGAGCTCCATGCGGGGCTCGATCCCAGGACCCTGAGATCATGACCTGAGCCGAAAAGCAGAGGCTTAACCCACTGAGCCACCCAGGTGCCCCTCCATGTTTTCTTAAAGTATGGTTTTAGCTATCTTACATTCAGACTGTTAATCTATTTTGAGTTAATTTTCATGTAGTGTGACGAGGGGTCAAATCTTCCCCGTGGCATGACACTGGCACCTTTGTTGAAAATCAGTTGGCCATATAGGTATGGGTTTGTCTGGGGTCTCAGGACTATTCCTTTGGTGTGTCTCTGTCCTCATGGCACCACTCAGGTGGATAGTTTTTACTGTTGGATACAGGTACACCTGGACGGTATTGTGGGTTAGGCTCCAGACTACTACAATAAAGCAAATACCAAAATAAAGCAAGTCAAATGAATTTTTTGGTTTTCCTGTGCGTATAAAAGTTACTTTCACACTATATTGTAGTCTGTTAAGTGTACAATAGGATTACGTCTAAAGAAAACAATGTACAGGGGGCACCTGGGTGGCTCAGTGGTTTAAGCCTCTGCCTTCGGCTCAGGTCATGGTCTCAGGGTCCTGGGATCGAGCCCCGCATTGGGCTCTCTGCTCAGTGGGGAACCTGCTTCCGCCCCACCTCTGCCTGCTTCTCTGCCTACTTGTGATCTCTGTCTGTCAAATAAATAAATAAAATTAAAAAAAAAAAAAGAAAACAATGTACATATCTTAATTTAAATACCCTTTCTTCCTAAGAAAATGCTAACCATCATTTGCACTTTCATCGAGTCATAATCGCTGATCACAGATCACCAGGACAAATATTGTAATAATGAAAATATTTGAAATATTGTGAGAATTACCCAGGTGTGCCACACAGAGACACCAAGTAAACAGATGCTGTTGGAAAAATGATGCCAGTAGACTTGGCTCCATGTTTGCCACAAACTTCCAGTTTGTAAAAAACACAGTGTCTGGAAGTGCAGTGAAGTGAAGCACAAAAAAATGAGGTGTGTCTGTACATTAGTATAGTGTATTAATTTTCCAAGTTTTGATCACATTTTAGAAATTTTAAAAATGTTGGTAAGTTCATTAAAGGAATTATCTTCTCGAAGTGCCAGATTTATAACAATACACATACCTGACCTTAGTGGATAATTTTGTTTAAAAATTTTTGGTGTATCTTACTACTGCTCTGGATGCATACAGAGTAGTGTTTAGATACGCGGTGTATCGGGATGTGTTCTAATTGAATTTTCATTGTGGATGAAACAACCTTGAGCCGTTGTGTAAAGAACTAGTTACGTATATACGCTCAGCCTGCCGAAAGCTGTTGGTGCCGGCTCTAGAAGAGCCGGAATAGGGACAGTCTGCAGCTTGCATCCACAAGGAAGGAGTCACATAAGTGCCGTTTCTAGAGAAGAAAATTGGCTGGGAACTCTGCTTTTTACTCAGGTCGTGGTTTTTAACTCTAATCAGTACAACAGAAATTTTAGTACTGTAAGAATCAGAATATGATGTGTTTCTGAAGTCTCTTAATCTGTAACTTCTCTCTTCTCCTCTTTTCCTCCCCATAATTATTTACTGAAGAAATTGGGCTCTTTGTCCTGCTGTTTCCCACAGTCTGGCTTTGGCTGAGTGAAACCCTGTGGTGCAGTTTCCTATGTTCCTCTGTGTTCTTTATTTCCTGTAAGTTGGTGGTTTGACATAGGGAGATCTAGAGACTGGATCCAATTCAGATAAAAACTTTTTTTTTCTTATTACATATTCACTTCATAGGTGATGTTTATGTCTTCCCTCAGGAGGCACATAATACCTGTTTATCTCTCTTTTTCATGGTGTTAATTAATTTTACTATGATTCATTTTAGTTTTAGCAATTCAAAGAGCTTTAGAGAAAAGTGTGGTGTAAATGTTAAGATATAAGCTCTAGAGCCCAAGAATCTGGGTTCATGTTTTCATTTATTAGCTACTGGTTCTCTAATCTTTGAGTGTCACTTTCCCTTGTGAGTGTTGAGTCTTATCTGTGAAATGGGGACGATGATTCCTATTGATGGGGTTGTTCTGAGGATTCAGTGAGAAAACGCGTGGAAAAGAACCTTGCACAGAGCCTAGCATCTAGTTAGTGGCCAATAACTGTTAGCTATTGTTTTTCTGTGAACTTAAAAATACTCTGTAATAATCTGAAAGGTAGATTATCTGGATTTATAAGTGAGGAAATTGAAGTTTGGATAGCTAATTTTTTGGCTCATCTGGGTGTGTTTAGGGAAGAAAGTAGGTCAGTTAATACAGCGGAGGTGAACCGTTCTTCTTTGTTCCAGTCGGTAAGTATAGCTGTATTTAGTAACCACTCACAATCAGCTTAATTTCAAAAATGGTTTTGCCCATGCTTTGTACATATCCACATGTACATCCCCACCTCATGTTGGGAAGGAGGCTCTTTGTTAAACAAATTGTAAATAGCACATTGTAGGTTTGAAGTCCACTGAGAAGTACTTACTGTCAAATGTTTTATTTTACAGTGTAATGTTCAGGCTCAGAAATGCCTTATGTGGATCGTCAGAATCGCATTTGTGGTTTTCTAGACATCGAGGAAAATGAAAACAGTGGGAAATTCCTTCGAAGGTACTTCATACTGGATACCAGAGAAGATAGTTTTGTATGGTACATGGATAACCCACAGGTTTGTGAAATCCAGATGGTCACCTTTTTTCAAATCACACAAGAATTTTCATTGTTAATATATCTAACATACTGTATGGCTGTTAGGATTTGTTTTCCCAAACAATCTATGTTTAGATTTATTTCTCCTGGCTGCGTTCTTCCTGTCCTGCATGTTCAACCCCTGCTGTCTTACTTGAATTTCACATGAAACTAAGTTTATTTGTGCATACGTATATGTGTCCCACCCTCCTCGAGAAATGCTGTCCCTGGTAGAAAATTCTGAAATTGTTTAAATTTAAGATACTGTCTCTGGGATAGAGACCGCTGTCTTTTGGTATAGAAACTACCTGAGCTAGTTGCCACTCTTGTACACATGTGTAGCCCTTTCATGTTGTGGTGACAGATTTGAGAGTCAGCTGTGTAATGCCATTCATGGATTGAATTGCACTTGGATTTTATTGTTGCCTTTCAAATCATTGGGGAAATGTCATAAATTAAAAATTAGAATCTCCGTTTTAAGATCTGTGAAAGACCTTGGATTAGAGATCATCTAATGAATAGTTTTAAGTTTTCTCTCTCTGTGAATCTCTCCATTCAAATTGGGATGGATGTTGCAAGGTTGAGTCCCTAGCAAACGTCTAAGCTGATTCTGTCTAGTGGGTGAGGAACTTAAAGTCAAGGGAGGAGTGGGGACTGGTGGGAGGTTCCATTCTGTTTCACGGAGAAGGAACTAGACCCCCTGAGAAGCAATCTAATGTTCTTTACCACCCTGTACTTACTTCTGGTTAGACAAAATATTTACGTACTAATGCGTTTATATTTGTTTATATAGCATTCAAGTTGTAAGGAACTGTAGTACAAATTCCACCTCCTCTTCAATGCAGGAAGCCTGTCTATCCCTGATCTTCACTTTAGCTGTTGGTTGAATTACACATTATGAAAAAGTACTTATGCTATTTGAGACACTTTCATTATTATTTCTTCTGTGAGCCAAAATCTCTTTGCTTGTATCTGCTCCCCATTAATCCTACCTATCCCTGATTCTCCATAAAGTAAGTTTAGTCCTTTATCCAGACACAATCTTTCAAATTTTAGAGGATAATTTGTATTTTAATTCAGTGTAGATTATTTGAGTGCTGACTTTGAGACTTTTTCCTAGGAACTGTCTACTCTCTATCCTTATTCTTATAGAGTTTACTGACACTGTTTTACTCCCTTATCTCTGGGTGTAACCACCTTTCTTGGGTGGTAGTAACCTGGCTATGCAACTACGATGATTAATACCTTTACTTACTGGGCCAGAGTCCGTGGAAGAAGGAGCAAGTCAGCAGAAATCAAAAGTCCATGTTTATTTATTTTTATATTTTTTATAGAAATCAGATTTCTCCCCTTTATTACTCCACCTTTTTATCTGCGGCACAATCCCCTCCCAAACTCTCTTTTGCAAAGTGGAAAGTAACTTAATTCCCCTTGACTCCCTCTCACTGCTGGGTACTAGATCCTGGTTTCTGGTTCTCCTCACCTGCACGAGACATTGCAGAGTTCTGGCCTGTGCTCTTCCTGGTTTGTCTCTCTTCACAAGATCTGGGCGACTGACACATATGGATTCTTCAGGATTGCATTTAAAGCTCCTTGGTTGTTTCTCTTTCTTCATAATAATAGGTTCTCCCCTCAGAATTCATCCTTTTATCAGCACTTCGCACTTAGAGCTAGAAGAAGGTGAGCACAAAATGGACTATTTTTATTACACTGAAGGAAAAATGAATTTGGAATCAGTTAACGGTCTTCATGGAGGTCGTAGCATTCAAAATTGACGCAGAGGGTGGATATGATTTTGGCCGGTAGTTGGAGAAGTGGGTGTTCCAGTGCTCATAGAATAGCACGGGCAAGAAGTCCAAGCAAGGAGGCCTGTGCCTATATGGAGAATAGGTCCCTGTGGCTGTAGCAGGGAGGTTGTGTGTTAAAAGTTTGCACTCAGCTAGATCTTTCTCACATGAACTGATATTTTGTTTTTAAGAGTTGCAGTGGTTTTTTTTTTTTAAAGTTTGTTTATTGGGACACCTGGGTAGCTCAGTCGGTTAAGCGTCTCTTTGGCTGTGTCTCTTTGGCTCAGGTCATGATCCCAGGGTCCTGGGATCGAGTGCTGCATTGGGCTCCCTGCTCAGTGGGGAGTCTACTTCTCCCACTAACTGCTGCTCACTTGCTTGCTCTCTCTGTCACTCTCAAGTAAATTAAAATCTTTAAAAAAAAAGTTTATTTATTTAAGTAAACTCTACACCCAGCATGGAGCTTGAGCTCATGACCCCAAGATCAAGAGTCATGTGCTCTTCTGACTCAACCAGCCAGGTGCCCCAACATGAACTCTTTAAAAAGCCGGATTTGGGGCGCCTGGGTGGCTCAGTAAGTTAAAGCCTCTGCCTTTGGCTTGGGTCATGATCCCGGGGTCCTGGGATCGAGCCCCTGCATCAGGCTCTCTGCTCAGCAGGGAGCCTACTTCCTCCTCTCTCTGCCTGCCTCTGCCTGCTTGTGATCTCTGTCAAATAAATAAATAAAATCTTATAAAAAAAAAAAAAGCCAGATTTCCATGATGTAATTAGCACATTGGTTTTTATGAATGTAGTACAGAATTTTAAGTCTGTCTTTCTTTTTGGTTCTTAAGAATTTTAACTCTTCATTCTAACTGATAAGAATCTTTTACAGTCTTGACTCTGCAGCTGGTGGATTAGCCATCAGTATACTAGCTTTGTGTCATTTTTAAATGTATTAAGACTTACAGCTCTTAATGAAAACATTAGTAAAATGTCTTGTTAGGATGATTACCTTAGGTTGAACCACATGAAATTGCCAGTATACCACCATTTTGATCTACTGAAAAATGACAAGTTCTATCTGCTTCAATCTAGTTGTTTATGTTATGGTACTGTAACACACTTATGCTAGTCATAATAACCCTGATATGAAAAAAAAAATCGGTTTAGCTCACCTGTCCGTAGGAGCCATTCTTCCTCTATTTTCCTTTCTTTACCACTAACCATTGGTTTGAAAATCCATTCTAGTGTATTACTAGAGATCCATTTGGAGCTTTCTGTATTTTGTTGAGGGTATGGGTAATGGTGGAGAATTAAATAATTGAGTATCTGTTCAGGAAGTGACTTTGAAGAAACTTGAAAGAAGTATTTTGGCAAAAGGAGTGCAGGAACTCATAAGAAAAATGGCTCATTTCCCTTTTTATTTTAAAAGCCACTAGTTGATTATTTCTTGTTCACTGTCAGGGAACAGATTTTGAAACCTACTTTTTGTAGTCGAACTTGGCAGTAATCTCACTGATCCATAGAAACTAGGTATTTTGAATATTCTTTATCTCTTAGCTACTTACATTTCCCTATACTGTGCCACTGTTTAATCTATACTGTGCCATGACATGACTTCATGTCATGCGGCCATGACATACTTCTCATTTTTCTTCCTCATACAGGGCTTAGAACTGTATTAAGCTAGTTAAAAGATTAAATTTTTGGAGGATTTAAAAGAAAAATAACACTTCTGAATGGAAGGTTAGTAGTATTTAAAAAAAAATCACTTCGTAGTTAGGAGGTCTTGAAGGCATTTTAACATTTCATTGACTAATCCAAAATTAAAAAACAACAACAAAGCAACCTCTTAATGTAAAACATTTTATATAAGAACACAATTTAACAGTATACCTTAAAAATTATAATGTTATTTTATATACATATTTATGGTTTATATTTAGAAGCTTGAATGTAGTATATAGTTTAAAGCAAAACATAATGCAGTTTACATAGGAGTGAAAATTTTGAAAAGATCTGTCCCTGTCAACAATAACCAGTAATTACGTTTGGGAATCTTAATTGAGTCTTTGAAATGTCTCGGCTTTCATATAATTAATTGTTTCTAGTAAGCTTATAGAGAGGTCTGAGAAAGGTACCTCCTAATCATTCATAAAGCAAAGTCAAAGGTTTTCTTTTTAATGTACATGATCATAAAGTTAGTTAAAAAGTTGATCTTAGGTAATCTGCAGTGGAGGAAGCTTTCAATGTTAACACTGTTTTAATTTTACTTTTAAAATATTCTGTCGGAGTTTTCCTTTATATTCTTTTATTATTTTTTTCCAGACTCTCTTATCTGGTGTTCCTGCCTCCATCTTCCCCTTTTATAATCCATCCAGTTTATTATATTATAGGATATATTAAAGTACAATTTTGATTTGATTACAGAATGCTCACAAACCTTTGTTAATGGTGCAAATTCTTAACAGTATAAATTATTTGCTACTTTTTAAATTTAGGTCCTATATAGTTAGGTTCTCAGTTCAAGTTCCCAAACCACTGTTTTCTACTACAACCCTATATGATACCGTGTTACAACCCTGCATTTATGGCTTTTAACAAAAAGTTTGGCCACAATGATAGAAATAGCCTTTTAGTTATAGGATGCATTATGGTGGAACAAAATAGAGTTTGGTTTTGTTATCCAGTTGTCAACTTGATTTGTAAATACTTGAACTAAAAAAGTTGATTTGTAAAATGTGATATTAAAAAATCTAATTTCTTAACTTTTTCTGGTACGTTTAGAACATTATAATATAAAATAAATTAATAATGTTGGATTTTAATTATATATTAATAATTTGTTTCCAGAACTTACCTTCTGGATCATCACGTGTGGGAGCCATTAAACTTACCTACATTTCAAAGGTAGTTTTTCTGTATTGTTTCATATTCATGCCTGAATTAAAATTCCTTGGAATGAGAGTATGAATAATCAAAAGAGCAGCTTCCTTTCTGTGTCGTTTAGTGATGAGGTTTGGGGTCATATCATGTTGAAAATAGTACCTGCTCACTATGGGTAGGAAGTTCTTTTATAAAATTCGGAAGAGTATGTGGCAAATTGCAAAAGTTAACATTAACTTCTGTGATTGGGCCATCAGGACATTGGAAGGGCATCAGAAGGACAAAGATGAGTTAACAGGTTCTATCTTTGGGAAACCTGAAGAAGATGTTTTCTGAGTTTGCATTTATTTAAACTGTTTCCAACTTTTAATGCCATTACCTTTGACTTTTTATTTATGTTTTATTTTGAAGAAAATAAGAACCATCTTCATGAGGAAACATCGGTTTTTCCTTCATTTCACTTTGTTTCTTCTAATTTCTCTTTTCTTGTTGTTGATATTTCTGGAATTTTTGTAATACTGTTTTTCTTTTAAAAAATTTAGGTTTGGTATTTTCAGGTATTTCCCCCCCTTGATTTTATCAGTGTTTTGGGAAGCGAGATAGAAGTTGAGGACCTAAACCTCTGGGGTTTTTATACAAAATAATGTTTGTAGATGACTTAAGTTATGAGATGTGAAGAGTAGCATGGAGTCATATGCGTGTGCGTACTATTAAGCATGTATTGGAATTTCTTCGCAAAGGTCTTCAACAAAAGACAGGTTTACAAGTGTGCTTCTGTTTAAAGGACAGACAGTTTTATAGACAAAGTACTTTGTTCTCAATATTGTTCTAGTTGACAACAACAACAAAAAGAATCAGCCCGTGCACAAAAAGGTTACATATTTAAAGGGCAACATTTTATTATTATTTATTTAATTAAAACCGTATTATTTAATTTGCAAAAGACGAATATTGTTTAAATATACCTCAGTTGTCCCTGTAAATTAAGACATTTTATAAATGCCTTAGGGTACCTTGAGTTTAAATTCTATAGTGATTATTATTAGGAAGCATAAAATTCCACTGCGAAACAAACTGTAGCCCAACTGTAGCCCCCCGTCTTCTTGCTTGCCTGCAGCATAAGTGTACTGTGATGTAAGGACGCCGCCAGGAGTTGTTGACTCTCAGCGCAGTGATGAGGAATAGGCAGTGGAGGGAGAGATTGCCGATATGCTTGTATCTTTTCAGTCATTTGTTGGCTGGTCTTTTTAAAAACGGGAGCTCTTTTTAAAAATAAAGTATTAACTAAGCAAGTAAGCCTTCTGGCCACCTGCCTCCCAACTCCTCTGTTCCCCTTTTAAAATATAACTTTCTCTGTGCACTTCTGTTGACTTTAATCTCTGTCCCACAGCTTTCCCGAAGGTTGAATTGTACAGTTTGTACTCTGCATTAGATATGCCTCCTTTTTCCAGAATTTATTCCTGGAACAAATTCCAGTGTGACTCAGAGCTGTGAATTTGTAGTTGGGATCAGTCAGGAACCCAGACTTAGAATTCCTTCTGAAGGTACAAAACAGATGCTGCAATGAGATATCACCGGACAGCAGATGGTGATAGTCACGAATAGGCTTCTAAGAGGCTACTTCATTAAGGGGGGGGGGGGGTCACAGCGACCAGGTGCAACTAGTCGTTTCACCTTCTGAAAGCCGTGTGTTGCATTTAGCAGCGTGACCCCATTATCCCAAGATGTTCTCATTTACAAGAGGATCCAGTGCCATTTTGGTTTCATTTCCTCATTGCAGATTAATACCTTCTGGATTTGGGGGCTTGGTTAATTACAGTCTCCCCCTTACCCACAGTCATTATCTCTAAAGGTTCACAGCTAATTTAGAAATATGCAATTTGGAAAGAATTCATATTTTCTATAGAGTATTCTGAGGGTATTTTGAAAATTATGTTAAACTAAGAATTTTTCTGTGTGTTACATAAAACTTTTAATGGTTTACTTTCAACTTCTTCACATTTCCTTTGAGTAAATATTCAGAAAGAACATGGAAGTATCATTTGTTTTAAACATCTCACAGTTGGGAGCCGTATTCTGTGTTTAATTTGCTGTTCTTTCTCAGTAGCCGTAAAAGTTTAATTTTAGATCTGTTTGCTAGATACATATTATTGGGAAATCATACATGTGCACGTTCGTGCAGCATTTAAAGTTGGTTATCTCGCATATGAGGAAGGGAGTGACACATTTCTCTTTTTTGTTAGGTTAGCGATGCAACTAAGCTAAGGCCAAAGGCTGAGTTCTGTTTTGGTAAGTAGCCATTTTCTGTATGTTTGTTAACTAAAGTTTGGCTAATATAATTACATTATGCTGTAAAAGAAAACAGTCCCTGAAAAGCACACACACAAACCTATGGGTTAATGGATTATTCTAAGGGAAATTCCCTTGAAACCACCATCCAGGTGAAGAAATAAAACTCCCCTGCCCGTGAAGTCTCTTTCCTGTGTCCAGCCCAGTCCCAGCGCCTCCCTTGTTTGGATGTAGTCATTAGCTACCATGTATAGTGATCACCGCCAGCAAGACTTCCAGTAATTCTTACCTTTCTACCTTGTATTATTCTATCATAAATGTGTAAATAACGGAAAGTATTTGGTTTTCAGCTTGTGGGTGCTGAGGAGTTTATAGCTTGGGGGTGGAGGTAGTCGAGGGTGTCTCGTCCGAATAGTGAAAGTCTGAAGCAAGCCGTGAATGTTGAGCGCGCGCTCTGCTTGGCCCTGGGGCTGGGAGAGCAGCAAGAAGCAGTCGTCGCCCTTAAGAGCCTCACAGGCTCCTTGTCTCACAGACACCGTGGCTGGCAAGATCATTGCATTTATTGCTGTCAGCAGGGAAAGGAGTGTACAGGCTGTTAAAGAACCACAGACGAGTTTCACATCCTCACTGGGGAGTCAGGGGAAGCCACACTGGGTGAGGAGACCCTGGAGTCAGTGGCCACCTACCCTTGATCATCCTCTGCCATGGGGGAGACGGGGGTGGGGTGGGGGCACAGGGACAGAGACATGCACGGGAGAAGAGCATGGTGTGTGCGGACGCCGGAACACTCCGTGAAGCTGCCGGGAACGAATGGCAACAGACCAAAAAGTAAAAGGGCAGGCGGGAGTCCGGGTATAACATGTTGACAAATAATGTGTGTGTGCATGTGCATGTGTGTGTGTGTGTAAACGAGAGGTGAGAAATTAGCGTCTAGAAAGCTGACATAAGGTGAAAAAGTTTTTTGCATGGATAGAATGTTGATGCAGGTAGATTAGTTCAGTGGCTCCCAAACTACAGTCCTTAAGGGACTGAATCTGGGTGGTGGCAGCGGAAGGAAGGACAGACATCGCTAGCAGGAGACGTGAAGGGACTTGGTGACTCGACGTGCGGGAAGAGAGAGGTTTCTGGTAGGTTCATTTCTAGTAAAGAAATGAGGGGTCAGGGAGAGCTGGATTGGGTAAAATGTTCGGTGAGGAGTGTGATGTGGTGGGGAAACAACAAATGGAAACGTTGTGGTGGTAATAATCGAGGACTGGGTAGAGCCTCAAGATCAGGAATGGAGGAATTTGGAACCTGCGATGATGGCGGGTCGTAGTTGAAGCTGGGGGATCTGGTGTGCCCTCAGCATGTTCGTAGAACCTAGTGATGGGAAGACATTTCACAGTGGCCAACAGGCATGCTTTACGTGAGAGTAGATGCTTCTTGTGGTAGAGTTGATGTTAATGTTCTTGTTCTTTTTTGCTTGTAAAGGGCAGGTTTCTTCTTTAGGCATTGTGTGAGGGATAACAGCTCGTGGCAGTCATGTACATCCAGCAAGAGAACAGGATATGAGCAGGATGTAAGGTAGCTGTTCAGAGAATCCTCTGTAAAACTTCTTAATTTTTTTTTTTTTTAAGATTTTATTTATTTACTTGACAGAGTTCACAAGTAGGCAGAGAGGCAGGCAGAGAGAGAGAAAGGGAAGCAAGCTCCCTGCCGAGCAAAGAGCCCGATGCAGGGCTCGATCCTAGGACTCTGGGATTATGACCTGAGCCGAAGGCAGAGGCCTCAGTGGGCTGGGGCCCACTGAGCCACCCAGGCGCCCCTCTCTGTAAGGCTTCTATCACCATTAAGAAACTAAAAAAAATGTTTTGTTTTTATTACAAATTTATAATTTTGGTTACTAAATAGGAAAATACCTCAGACTTTGTGAGTGAAAAGCTAGTGGGGGCAAGTCGAGTAACAGAGTACTTTGTGTTTTAGAATGTGTAAAGCATATACTCCTGAAAGTCTTTAATGTAAATCTCAAACCCGAGGTTTGAAGGAATAGGATTATATAGTAATAGATGTGAGGTTCAGTTACTGGAGTATTTAGAATGGGTGATTTTACTTGGAGTCAAAGATTAAGAGTTTTGTTTTGCCAGTAGTTTATTAGTCTTTACTACTAGAGGGGATAGAAAAGAGATTCTTGAAATGCTAGCCTTCAGAGAAGTAGGCAGAGGCCGGAACTTCCACTCAGAATGGCAACAGAAAGACTCTCCTGCCTTTATTCCATCTCAGATTGCTCAAAAACAAGTGACAACTAGAAACACTCCAATCATCTTGATGAACCTGGCAGACATCTGTAATCTGCAGTGTAGACAGATGGGAAGTGCGCGGAGGAACGTAAAATAACTTAGCAGGTTGCAGCAAAGGCCAGTGGAGAGCTGGCCGGTCAGGGTCCTGCCCCCCATGCCAACTCCAGCTGGAGCTAGGTTCTGGGTGCTCTCTGGGGAGTCAACAAGAGGAGGGACTGAAACAGGGACTACGTTTGGATGTCTGTATCAGGGATAGCCTCTGGTCCCTGCTTCCGTCTGGCTTAGGCAGCCTCCCTTCCACCATCCCAGCAAGAAATGGCATGTGTACTATGTTTAGAAATAGAATCAGTGAAGGGTGCCTGGCTGGCTCTGTCGGAGGAGCACATGACTCTTGATCTTGGGGTCATGAGTTCGAGTCCCATGATGGTATAGACATTACTTAAATAAGTAAAAACTTGAAAAAAAAAAAAAAAGAAATAGGCTCTGTGCTTGGGGAGTAGGAGAGGGTTGAGGCATGAAACTGAAGATAGGAGGACTAAGTGAAGATCCGCCCATTGAATGCACCCTTTTCCTGTGTCCAGTCCTGGAGCACTGGGCAGCCAGGCATGGTGGGATGGGAGTCTGCCTACCCTAGACAGGAGAGCTGTAGGTACCGACATCTGGGCATTTCTACTAGAGGAGTTTGTTGTGTAGTAAAGTCCAGCAGTTAGCAACCCTACAAATCTTCAGGAGAGCTTCCAATCAGTTTTTTAGTACCTTGTTTTTGAAAGTATGAATAGACAGCCCAAGATTACATGACATTTGAGGAGAGAGAACTGTCAAATAGGAAAAGGGACACAAGACAATGGCAAAACTCAAAAGAAAAAGTCAAAATCTAAAAGTAGAGCAGAGACAAAGATGAGAGGAGAGAAATGAGAAAATTAGAGGTTCCTTTAAGGTAATCTGCCATCTGACTAAGGGAAGAGGACAGAGAAAGAACAGAGGGAAGAGAGACACTGACAAGGAAGGCATGCGGAAAGCGTCGCATCACCATGTGGTGCGTAACTGCATTCGAACCATAACCCAGGTTGCTCCTGGGTTGTGAGATGACATTTGTTTGCAGTCAGGCTCATGTTTGCATGAGCATCCAGTATGTTCACTTCGATGGTGAAGATTTGAAATGAAGGGGCTCCTGGGTGGCTCAGTGGTTAAGCGGCTGCTTTTGGGTCAGGTCATGATCCCAGAGTCCTGGAATCGAGTCCCACATCAGGCTCCCTGCTCAGTGGGGAGCCCGCTTCTCCCTCTCCCTCTGCCTGCTGCTCTGCCTACTTGTGCTCTGTCAAATAAATAAATAATTTAAAAAAAAATTTTGAAATAAAATAAAGAAGTACTCAAGTGAAGAGGTAGTGGGAACACCAGCATCTGGTTTGGAGCCATCATACACTGTAAAGCCCCTGATTTAAAAGCGTGGCATCTTACAGCTTTTGTGTAGTTTTGTTTTATTCTGGTGTTTGTTCTTTCTCTGTCCCCACCTCCCTCCCAGTGTTGTTAATATGCCCCTTCCCAGTAACTTGCTTTACATTTTCCACAGTGCGTTCTTACTGGAAATCTCCAGATGATAATGATGAAGAGGATGATCTCTGTTTTGTCCCAAGTACTGTCCTAGTTTCTTTACATCTCTCACTTCCACCCCTCAATGAATGGGTGGGTTGCATCCATTTCATTGATGAAGAAAATGGGGCTCAGAGAGTTTGCATGGGTTTTACAGGATGACATTGCTAGTTGAGTGCATGAGCTGGTCAGGTCTGAGTGACTCCCGGCTCTGATTTTTTTCCCTCCCATCATATCATTATGCCCTTTCCTGCCATGCACTATATACAATAATACAGCACCTGAATTTTTATTTGGAGTGCAGGGTTTGCTAAGAATCTTTTTGAGAGTTGTATTTGCCTCTTTTCCCTTAAAAGAAGTCCTTATATAAATGTTATTCATTCAAAAATAGATGTATTAAGCGCTTGCTTTATAGCAGGTACAGTGTAGTACCAAGTGCTCAGATTTTCAGACTCTTCGGATGATCTGGGCAGATGCCCAGAACAGTGTTGAGGGAAGAAGCCATTGGGGGAGGTAGGGGGAACTCAGCCTCAGCCCGAGTTGGAACAAGATTGTAAAAGGGTGCTTTGCCAATTGTTAGAAATTAAAAATAAAAGCGGCGTGTTAACATATCCTACTCTGCTACTCATTTATCTTAGTTTATGCTAATGGCATTTAGAATTTCTCCAATCTCTAGTAAGATATAAAAGAACTGACTTACAGTGTTCTAAATTTCTTTAGTTTCCAGACCAGTTGTCGTACAGCACTTCCCAAGGGACTTTTGACTTCCTTGCTCAGATTCTCATCTCAGTTCAAGGAAGCTCTGGTTTAGTGTCTTGGTCTCAGTTCTAATTTCAAAGTCCTATGCATTTGAGAAATAACTTTGGAAGTTATTTTCATAGTTCAGAATTGCAGCAGTGTCGCTGTTGAAGTGCATTAGCTCCTAGAATGATATTTATGTTTTTAAAAATGAATGCACATGAAATATAATTAATAAGCTTTAATTCAAGGGTTGACAGGGATAGTTGGTAGACAACTGTGTATGCTGGTATGCTTTGCTTCATACAAATAGATAGTCACTAAACAGGTATATGTAAGTTAAATTGTACAAAAAGTTCCAAATGTATTAAGATTTTAGATATAAAGACATAGATATAAAAGAGTGCTGAAAATATCAAGGTGTTTATTTTTATAACCTTGAGTTGGGGAGATTTTCAAATATGTGAAAGCTCAAGTCATTACAGGAAAAAGAAAAGATTGGTAGAATATTCCTGTTCGATAAAAGATACCATGGGCAAAGTGAAAAGGCAAATAACAGACTGGGAAAAAGAACTTGAAATGAAATAGAAATGATTAATACAAAAGCTCTCCAAGTCAACACAAAGTAAGTGAACACTCAGGAGAAATATGGGTAAAGAAAAGAAAGCTCAGAAAACAAATTCTAATGGCCAAGAAACATAAAAAGTAATTTGTCTCAATAATCAAAGAAATTCACATTTAAACAAGATGTGATTATTCACCAATTAGGTAGCCAAAGATTGCTGTGTTTGTGAGAGTCCAGTCAGGAAAGTAGTCTGCATTAGGTATTTCAAACCCTGGGGTATTTGTTTTGGGGAATTGGTTACCCATTTGTTGGAAGGCTGGAAGAGCACAAAGGGGAATGCTGAATAAACCTAGGCATTAGGAACTATATAAGGCCACTATCACCCACATGGCTGGAGAAATGAAAGGGGAAGAAATGAAATGAAATGAAAGGGGAAGAGGTAGTAGTATCACCTGAACCTAGGACTTAGGAAGGGGGCCAGGATGGAGCTAGCGAGGGGTGTCTGGGGAGTCTGCAGGGCTGGCAGGGAGAGTGGGGGAAGCGTCTGAGCAGTAGCTAGTGTGTGTTGCTGCTGGTGGAAGGACAGGGGTAGCAGGAACTTATGAGAAAGTGCCCTCTCCTCACCTCCCTCACACCTTCTAGTCTCCCTTCAGTACCTCCCATTAGCAGAGCATGGCCCGAGCTGGCAAGGGGTCGTAGGAAATATTGTCTACAGACTGCAGCTCCAATATCATAGAGTCCTGGGGTTGAATACAAGGTCCCTCACTAGCAGAGGTGCTAATAGTCAAGACTGGTGTGGGGCACTTGACAAAACAGGCCTTTGCATACACTGTTGTTAGGAATATAAATGGGTTCAGCCTTTTGGGAAGACACGTTGCCCAATACCTATAAAAATTTTAAAGGTGAATTACTTTTGACCCAACACATCTGTGATAAGAAATTTATGCTATAGAACTGGTAACCCAAGTATGGAAAGATACATATACATGATGTTTCATTGGGATAATTTATATGATTTTAAAAAATTAGAAATAGCCTAAATGTCCATCGTTAGGGGATTGGCTAAATATATTGTGGTATTTCAGTTTCATGAAAAACATGGCCATTAAAGATAAGAGGTTTACCTATGTTACTGAGTGATAAAAGCATTATTACATATGATCTTGTCAAATCCAAGAGAGTCACAGTATTGAACCTAGCATGGTTTTTCAGAAAGTAGCTGCAAATATAAATTTAGCTGTAACAAGTGCAAAATTTCGTGTGTTGTAGTTTATTTTTTTCTCTCAACAGTTATGAATGCAGGGATGAGGAAATACTTCCTACAAGCTAATGATCAGCAAGACCTGGTAGAATGGGTAAATGTGTTGAACAAAGCTATAAAAATTACAGTAAGTATTTGTTTTTTTTTTTTTTTTTAATTTTTAATGTCTGGAAATAATCTTTACATTTTGAAAATATATCTGCTTAGTGTCTCTAGTTTACCAACGGATTGTGTATTCCAAGTTTGTTTAAAACACAGGTGTTTATAATGTGAATACATTGCCTTGTGCAAGGTGACTATCAGCTCTTAAAAATAGCCCATACATAAATGCCTTTTGAAACCATTATGTACCTAATAAGATGTGTATTAGTGTAGATTTTAACCACTGCATGCAGTAATGTTTCTAGGGTAAAATGCATATTTTTTCTTCCTGAGTAGGATAAGGGGCTTCCTGCCACTGACCCAGCTACTGGGCGTCGGCCTTCCTGTCTTCCAGGCCATGGGCAGGATTCCTGTCACATAGGGTAGAGTTCGAAGAGAGGAGCAGGAAGCGGAGGTGAGGGAGTGGGAGTGAGGCACAGGGATAGGGAGTGCATTTGGAGAGCTATGGCGGCCAGAGGGTGCTGCCCACATGGCCCCGGAAGTCTGTCTCAGGCTCTAAAACCTGCCTGGATCCCTCTTCCTCCTGGATTTCGGGACTTGCCGTCCTTGCACACCTTTTCTGTGCTCCAGCTTCCCGCTTGCCACCTGCATTTCTCCTTTTGGTTTTCTGATGAACAGATATGTGTATTGATTATCTGCAGTGTGTCAGGCCCTGCCCTGCAGGTTTTACCCAAATTATCTGGAAAAGTGAGCTTTGAAGGATTGAGAAGCTTACCAGTTTCAGAGCTGGTAAGTGGTGGAGCCGTGAGCCAAACCCAGCCCATTTGACTCTGGAGCCAGACCCTGAAGAGCAGTGCCTTACTGCTTCCTGAAAAAAGAGCCCTTTCCTACTCTTTTGTTCCTAATGCAAAAACCCAACTTTTCTGAGAGCGTTTACTACACTCACAATGATAGGCAAGTAGAGAGGTTCTGTGCCCTGATCCTACCTCTCCTGGCTTTTTTCCTCCTTACACACTTGTAGAGAAACACATAGAGGCCTGCATGGAAAGGATCTGGAAGGAGTTCCTGTGTGAGGTTTGTTAAATTGAAGTGTGCTTCTGTTAAAGTGTAGTTATTTACTGACCTTAAATGACTTCAACCCTCGAAAGACATGTGCTCTGAAAGTTGCCATATGTTATTACTTGATAGTTTCCGTCTGAAATGAATGATTCCATATTTATATCACAACACAATGAAGAGTTAATACAACTAAAGCTGTTCTCAGTGAAGTCAGAGTTTTTGTCTTGCAGCAGCACAGCCTGTTACCGCATGACAGAAACACCCACGCCGTGCATCTGATCTGTACATGGAGAAGTTATTTTAGGCTTGTGCAGTTTCAGGAAAGCACTTTTTTGAGCTGATGCACAAGTACATATTCTTCAAAGGTCTTAACTAATTGTTTTTAATTCAATATATATATATATTTTTAATGCGAAATTTTCTTTGGAAAGTACCTAGTAGCTTTGCTGAGTTTATTCATTGCAATAGCAATTTAAAATAATAAGAAGCACTGGTTTCTTAGTGCTTTAAGAAAAAAGTAGTGGATAGTCTCAGGATTTTGCCATTTTGGGGGTTCTTGAATTGCTGTGTCTAATTTATTAATGGTGGGAAACCATCTGGTACAGATGACACTGTTAAGCTTGTTCAAGTGCAAGAGAAACTGAGGTTGGGTAATGTTCCAAAGTATAAAGACTGCTGATACCAGCTTTTGTGGTTTTACAGCTTTGTTTTACATGTTGAAATTTTTATAGTTTTTAAGCTAAATCAGTTGATATTCTTTTATAATTCATGTTTTTATAATTCACATTTAGAAGATAGGAGTACATGAAAGATACAGAAATCCTTAGCCAGTCAACAAAAAGAATATAGTGATATTACAGTGAATTAAAGTGATATAGAAGTGATAGTATTTACTAAAGATCAATCTTAAATAAACATTTAACTTACATGATAGCAACGAGAGAATTTCCCATGCTTCCATGAGGTACCTTTAATTTTTTTCTCTAAAGAGTCTTGCCAGGGGGCGCCTGGGTGGCTCAGTCTGTCAAGGATCCAGCTCTTGGTTTTGGCTCAGGTCTTGATCTCGGGGTCCTGAGATCGAGCCTTGTGTCAGGCTCAGTGGGGAATCTGCCTGAAATTCTCACCATTTGCCCCTCCCTCTGCTCACACACTTTCTCTCTCTCAAATAAATAAATAAATAATCTTTATTTAAAGAGTCTTGCCAATTTTAATGTCATATGCATAAATACACATGTAAATAAATGTATTAGGGAATGGAATCTCTAATTTGTCATACTTTCCTATGGAAATGCCAATGATTTACATACATATTTCTTTGGAAAATTAAATACATTTTAGTTATGTGTGGTTTACATTTCTGTGGAATCTCTCCAAATGACATTTTGGTCAACTGTATACGTGACATATAAACTTAAAACTTTAAAAAATTCGTAATTAGAAAAAAATTCATAATTAGGTTTTGGAGTATGTGGTTTCAGAATACGGATGGTGAAGGGGTCGTGGTAAGGGAATGGTGATTATTAAACTACTTCCTAATTATAGTACCTGTCATCTTAATGGACTGTCCTCTGACACCCTGGTCTGTGGCTTACTTCGCTAACATCTGTGTGAAAATTTATGGTGGCTGCCATTTAAAAAAAATTTCCCCCTTATTTGAAAAGAAAAGAGAGTCAGTATTAGAGGAACCAACCCTGAGGGGAGTATCAGTGACTGGAGTTGGGAAATTCAAATTTTAAAGTATATTTTCAAATAACTATTCATTTATAGCAGTAAGAGTATGAACATGGTGGTCTCTGGTCTCTTGTTGAGTACCCTCAGGGGTACTCAGTAATTTGTGTTTGAACATTCGAGGTTTTATTGTGTAAGCCCTGTCATTTTTCTCCGATTTGTTTATCCCTCGTTCTCTGACTCCCTTTTCTTTTTCTGCTGTTAGGATCACAAGCAAACACCTAAAAATACATGCAGACTTCTCGCAGAAAGCAGCCGCAGGACAGACAGAAAGCAGGAGACGGGGAGTCAGGGGCAACGGGAGCAAGCACGTCCAGCGTCTTTGACACTTGCTGTCTGCCTGGGGGGTCATTTTTCTGATTCTCGTTTAGTAGTTGGCTGGTTTGTTAGTCCTGAACGTGTTTATTTTAATGGCTGAATTTAGACTAATATTCGGAATTTTTAGGAGTAGGTATTCTGCTTATATTTTTCTTGTTTTAGGAGAATGTTTACAGTTTATTTTTTATTACTGTCTTTTTAAGGATTTTATTTACTTGTCAGAGAGACAGCGAGAGCAAGAGAGAGAGAAAGAGAGAGAGAGCACGATCAAGGGAAGGGGCAGAGGGAGAAGCAGGCTCCCTGCTGAGCAAGGAGCCCAATGTAGGACTTGATCCCCGGACCCTGGGATTCTGAGACCTGAGCCAAAGGCAGACCCTTAACGACTGAGCCACCCAGGTGTCCCTACAGTTTATTTTTTTAAATTGTAATGAAATGTTACATTAGTTTCAGGTGTACAACATACTGATTTGAAAGTTCTGCTTGTTACTCAGTGCTCACCACATAGTTTAGATAATTTTTATTGTAAAGTACAGATCGAAGTTAATTACTGAGCTCTAGCATTGGAATTATGCCATACTTAGCATTTATTTTATTATTAGGACAAATTAGAAGCAGTGGGGCTTAGCAACATAGAGAAGGGATTTTAATACATCATCATTTCTGAAAGAAAAATAGAAAAGTATAAGTGTATAAGTGTCAATGTATTTTTAGGCCGGTATTAAAGGTTTTTCTTAGGAAATGCCCACATATGACTAAAACTCTCAAGTTCTTAAAAGAAGGACTGATTTCACCTGGGTCACCTCTTAGCACATTTCAACTAACACAGTTGAGAAGAGTGTTGAGTTCTTGGTTTTAAATTCTTCTGATGCTGTTTTCTGTTCTTAATGAGATAACTTGGTCCCATCTTATCTGTCATAATTGAAATACATGATACCACTCATTCAAACATTATAGGCTTCCTTAGATTGTTTCCGGGTGTGTAGTGTCCATTGTCGCCCCTTCATTATCATGTCATTATGTGAATCTTGTCAAGTAGAGTTCTAGCCATTATCTGTTGCCCTTAAAAAGTCCAATGTATAGCCTCTTAGAAGAATGCTGGAGGCATTCCGTGGCAGGGTTCATTTCTCTTCCTGTTTCCCTCACTTTTGTTTCTGCCAGTGACCTGCCTCATAGTGTAAGTATAGCTGGAGGCCTGGGGAGAGAGCCTTGTGGGGAAGCATTTCTAAAGGAGAGAGACAGGGGAAAGAGTGGAGTTGCAGAAGTCAACCAAGAGACAAGTTGGTATATCCATAAATTATATCCGTAAAGTATATCCATAAATCATATTTATGTGGATTGGCCTACGCTTAGACACATGTAGCGCATGTTTACCCAATATTTCGTGTAGCTTTGTCTGCAGACACTGCTGTCCGCCTGCTCTTCCCCAGACGTGGTGGGAGAGCACAGGTCTGGCAGCAGTGTTTCTCAGGCTGGTTTCTGAAGCACCTATCTCAGAAACCTCTGGAATTCCTGCTGAAAGTGCAGCCTTGTCACACCACCGAGGCTTCACAAGTCAGAATTTCTGGGTATGCAGCCTAGGAATCTGAAGGTTTTTAATAATGTTCCTGGCTCATACTTCATGAATGTTAAAGCTTAAGAAACCACACTGGAATCATATTAATAAATGGCTTGGGTCTTTGACTGCAATGTGATTATTGTCCCCTGGAGCTGTGCCAGTGTCCTGTTAACAGGGATTAACTGTATGGCAGGCAAGTATTATTTAATTTTAAATGTTTTTATATCACAATTACGGTGCTTATTGGAAGTAGTTGTCATGATGTTTCTGAAACACTGCAGAATCCTCAAATGCCCTTTAAATCAGTGGCAAGGTTAACTGTCAAGCTTAACATCACATCAGTGCCAAGCATATTTTATTACGTTTTGTTCAGAGCCAAGAAAAATCTATAATTCAAAGATAGACAACATGCAGCAGTCTATTGATAGAACTAGTGCTTCGCCAAGTACTTTGTTTCTGGATTAGGCCACATAAGAAAAGCTGAAGCATAGGTTAAACATTTGTGATGCCTTTGATTGTTTGAGTCCACTTTAGTGAGATACTTGTGAGTGATTTATCATTGATATAAGTATTGGAATTTCTTTTAAAAATTTCCAATAAGCTTTAAGTTATATTGAACATTTTGACTTCTAGTTTAAGTATCTTACTCTTTTTTTCCTGCTGATTTTGGGTTCATCCCCTGAGTCAGTCTTTCACCGTTTACTGAATACCTCCTCCACTCTCAGTAGTAGACTGTTCTAACGGTAATGATTGACTTGCCACAATCCCTGCGCTCAGGGGTGCCGCAGAATCTGGGGCAGGAATGGCGGACAGGGAGAGATAACATAGAACTATAACCCAATGTCAAGTTCTGTAATAAACAGGAGGTATAGTATAGTGGTTGACTGTACAAGAGAGTTACACGAACTTAAATAGAACATTGTACAGCCAGGATCTAAACCTGTGTTTCTTCGTGCCTCTGAGCGTCTGTTCTCTCACTGAGAGAGTGAAGATACACGCCCTGCGCATAGGGTTGATCAAAGGATTAAGTGGGAGAAGGTATGAAGTAGTAGCTGCTGAAGTAAACACTCAGTACATGGTGGCTGTGTTTGTAAAGTATTACTGAAACAGAAACGTTAGTGGAGAACTTAAAGGGGTACACACACACACACACACACACACACACACATATGTAGTTTTCATGTATGTCAGTTATATGTAAGTGGATGATTAGTTGGATATTCTGTGATAGAAGAGGGTCTCCTAAATAATGCTAGTTGTAAAATGATTCATTTACATATTATTTTAGGTACCAAAGCAGTCAGACTCACAGCCTCATTCTGATAACCTAAGTCGCCAGAGTGAATGTGGGAAGAAGCAAGTGTCTTACAGAACGGACATTGTTGGCGGTGTGCCCATCATTACCCCAACTCAGGTAATGCATTGGTTAGTCTACTGTGTGACGGTTTACCCACTGCGTAGTGATTTTTATGTTATAAAATAGAACATCTTTACTGAATTAACACAGTAGTTAATTAATTTTAAAAACTTAGTGTTGGTTTCTTATTTCAAAAGTATGTGTTTATTATGAAACATTTGGAAATCACAGATACACAACACTTAACACTTTTCATGTTTTCTCTGAGCCTTTCTCCTTTTATGCTTTTGTCGCCAGAAGTGGAGATACTTTGTAAACAGCTTTTTCCCCTTATATCTCAAACATTTTCCAAGTCATTAAGTATTATTCTACATCACTTTTAATGACTGTGGTCATTTTGCCATGAATTTACCATAGTTTACAAATCCTCTGTTGTTGAATAGAGTTCCTTTTCCTTTTGTAAACAGTATGAGTAGGAAAAGCCCATTCTTTCTCCCCCACACTACCACACTCAGCATGCTGCTGGCATCGGAAGTGTGGGCCTCTGCGACGCTGGCTGGGTGTCCGACGGTGTAAGTCAATTTTGACATTCAGCCTGGAATCCTCAGGTTAAGGGCTCAGTCCTCCAGGACTCCCCCTGCATCCCTTCAGATGCCAGTTAAAAGTCCAGGTTATTACCTGTGCTTCTGATCGATGGGCTTTAAATTGGATGTTCCCGTGACTTCGTGTCCAGATTTGAGTCATTTGCTAGAGTGGCTCCCAGAACAGAAGAAAGCATTGTATTTGCTGTTTGCTGGTTTGTTATAAAGGATATGATAAAGGACGCACATGAACGTCCAGATGGAAGAGATGAGAGGGGCGTGAAGCCTCAGTGCCCGCTTTGGGACTCTCCTAGCACCTCCCAAGTGTTCACCAATCCAGAAGCTCTCTGAACCATGTACTTTTGGGATTTTTATACAGACTTCATCATGTAGGCATGATCAACTCTGTTTCTAGCCCCTCTCCTCTCTCTGGAGAATGGCAGGTGGGTCTGAAAGTCCCAAGGTTCTAGTCATGACTTGGTCTTTCTGGTGAGCAGCCCCCATCCGGGAGCCCATCCCTCATCTAGGAGCCCACCCAGAGCCACTGCATTAGAACAAGAGATGCTCCTAGTGCTTATCATTTAGGAATTTACAAGGATCTTCGGAGCTGTGTGCTTGGAACCAGGGGCAGAGACCAATAGGTATTTTCCATTATCCATAAATGCTATGATGAACATTCCTAACCGACTGAGCCACGCAGGCGCCCCCTATGATGCACATTCTTGTAGCATAAACTTTGGAGACATGGAGGATAGTTTTTTAAAGGATGAAGTCCTAGAATAAAATGCCACATCAAAGAGTTTGCGAATATTTTTTAAACCTGTTTTTCTGCAACCTGACCTAGATGAACCACACAGAGAAACTAGAATTTTGCTCTGTTCTATCACACAAGTGCCAGTCTGCTAAGTCATATCTTATTTGGGTATTATGAAGAATAGAAATTTATAAAAAAAAATTTGAATGAAATTAAAACTTTTGAATGACCTTAAATTTCTTGTGTTGCTGTTGAGTGAATGAGTTTGTAATACAGATTGAATTACCAGCTATTGAGAAACTCCAGGTCCAGAGGTAATGGATTACTGTCACCAACTTTGGGCACTTTACTTGTCTCTGTGCCTGTTTGGACTGAGAGGACTTTGGCACTTCATAAACCTTGTAAATTGTTTTATGCGCCATATTTTTCAGGTCTTGTGTCAGGGAAGGGTGATAGTGGAGAGTCTTAACTCATTAATTAACTAATTAGTGCTTTCTTTATTCTAAATTAAGGGTATATTATGAACAAAAAAATTCATGCTCTAGTGGGAGCTTACATTTTTCACCAGAGTTGGATAAAAGTCTAAGCTAGTATTGTGTTTGTATGTGTACTTTTAAAAAAAGTAATGATTTTTAATCTCTAAGACTTCTGGTTAAGATAAAACTATACTAAGTTGCTTTCACCTGTCTTAAGTCTTATGCTGATATAAGTGGTAAGACAATTTGTAGCAGTATTAAGATAGTAGTTTGTATCTCTGGCTATTTTGACATTATACAGAATTAAGATTTTGTTGTGTTTTAATTTTGGTGTATTCAGTACGTTCTAAGATTCCATTGCAGCTGCCATATTAAAATTTTTTTTTACTTTGCTTTTTGTAATACAGCTTTTTAAATTCATAGAGTATTTACTCATTATAAAAGCACTTAATTGTTAAATTATCAAGAAAATGATAAATCTCATTTGCTTGATTAATTTATTCAGTGATTATTGGGTTAGTAGCAGTTACGTGCTGGGATTACAGAATTTACGTACATAATTCTTGATGTCGACCTGTCTAAATGGATAAAGGTTGAAAATTCCTCAAGATGAGACTTGAGCATTGGTTTTTCTCTTGAAATTTAAGAGTTCTTCAAAATACATGTTTGGTTGATTTGTGGGATTCTAGATTATAATATGTTGCATACTATAAATAAACAGAAGCCAGTGCTTTGGGGACCATGAAAACATAAGTGTAGTTAGATCTTTTTTTTAAAAGCACTGGACTTGGCATGTAAAACAAAACAAAACAAAAACCCTACAGAACTTTTAGATTCTTTTTTTTTCTATTTTCTTTTATTTCTTTTCAGTGTTCCAGAATTCATTGTTTCTGCACCACACACAGTGCTCCATGCAATACGTGCCCTCCATAATCCCTACCACCAGGCTCACCCAACCCCCCACCCCACGCCCCTCCAAAACCCTCAGTTCGTTTCTCAGAGTCCACAGTCTCTTGTGGTTTGTCTCCAGCAAGGAGAAAATCTTCTGACAAGGAGTTTTTAGATTTGACAGCAAAACTGTCGTCCATCAGAGGAAAAATTGATAAATTGGACCTCATCAAAATTGAAAATGTTTGCTTTGTGAAACAGGATGCAAGGAAAGCTACACACTAAGAGGAGATATTTGCAAGCCACATATTCAACAAGGCACTTGTATCGAGAACATACAAGGAACTATCAAAACTTAGCAGTGAAAAAATAATCCAACTAGGAAGTGGGCAGAATTCACGAACAGAGATTTCACCAAAAGACAGACATGTGGCAAAGGAGCTCTAGAAAGGCTTCTCAGTGTCATTAGTCAGTAGGGAAATGCAAATTAAGACTGCAGTGAGGTATTACTGCACACCTCTCAGAATGGCTCAGATATGAGTAACAGAAATGCTGACCACTGGCAGGGACGAGGAGAAGCTGCATCCCCCCTATATTGCTGGTGGGAATGTATGACCGCTCTGAAAAGCAACATGGCAGTTTTCTATTAAAGTAAGCTTGTGAGTACTATACAACCCAGCATATGTACTCCTAGGCATTGCTCCCAGAGAAATGGAGACTTATGTTTACATAAATCTGTACACGAATGTTTGTAGCACTTTTATTCCTATAGTCCAAAACTGGGAACAACTCAAATGCCCTTTAACGGGCAAAGACTTAAACAGCCCATGGTATGTCCAGACCATGAGCGCTACTCAGCAGGAGGAAGGGACAGACTAGTGATACAGGGAGCAGCCTGGACGAGCTTCCTGGGAAGGGTTCTGATCTCATAAGGTCACATACTGTAGGATCCATTAAATCCCATGGCCTGACTGTCAGAATAATCGAGATGGAGAACAAATTAGGGGTTACCAAGGGATTGGGCATAGGGACTCTAACGGGGTAGCCCAAGGGAGCCTTGTAATGGTAAACACCTCTGTATACTGTTGTGGTGGTTTTACACAAAGCTACATGTGACAGAATTGCATAGAATGATCCAGACACAGAGACGGATGAGTGCATTAAAACTGGTGAAATCTGAACGAAGTTTGTGGGATGTTCCAGTGTCAGTTTTGATAATGTAGTGTAGTTGTACAGTTTCCCTCTTGGGGGAACTGAAGGGTATATATAACCTCCTGTACATTTTTTTTTTTCACAACTTCCTATATTAGTGAATGTGTGTAATTATTTCAAAATCAAAGGTTCACCCCCTTCACCCTCTACCTCCTCCCACCCCCCCCCAAAAAAGCACTGGGAGCAGACAAGAGAAATAGAAATCTATGGTTTTTATTACTGATGTGAGTGTTATGATTAAGTACCTCGAATTATTTAGGAAACTCTTCAAAATTTGTGTTCCTAACTGAACTAAGATTAGATTTTAAGATTTTTTATTAGAATAACAACATAAAATACAACTGTGCCTTGAAGCTAAACAAGCAAGAAAAGAATTTCTTTACTTGCCTCTTTGTAGAAAGAAGAAGTAAATGAATGTGGTGAAAGTATTGACAGAAATAATTTGAAACGGTCCCAAAGCCATCTTCCCTACTTTGCTCCTAAGCCACCCCCAGACAGTGCAGTCATCAAAGCTGGATATTGTGTAAAGCAAGGAGCAGTGGTGAGTACCTTAATGGGGTATGTATAGGAATAATGAAAAATGAGTCCTTTGATAGCAAACTCGCAACATACCAGCCACGTGCTTTGTTTTTTGAAAGACCCAAAGTCGGAGACCAGTGGGCTGAGGAGTCAGGAGATAGAATAGGGGTGGCTGTATGTTCATAACTTAGTGTTATTTTCTTGGTCTGTGAGTGGCTGGATAAATTAATGCTTATTACCACTGACCTTTAATTTTAAATCCGCTTTCCTAACACCTTATCCCAGAAGGCTTTCCTATTGATTTTTCCTCCCTTGTGAGTGGGTCAGAGAAAGAGAGCTCTAGCAGGGAGGTGCAGGAAGAGAGGAGGCAGGGCTGTGGGGTGTGGGAAGGCTCACTCACTCGGTGTTGGGCTGACCTCAGTCGAATTTTCTGTGACCTTGATCTTCTTACTTAACCTTTCAGTCTCTCAGTTTCTTTTTAAGGAAAATTAGGTTATAAAACCTACCATCTGGAGATTTTTTTTTTTTTGAAAGATGTAAATTAAGATAGTATTAACACAGCACCTGGTCCTAGTAAGAGCTGGTAAGGGTTAGTTAGCCAGATCCTCTCATCCAACCAGACCCATGGGTGGGACAGTGTAGGAAGAGCAAGTAAATTTACCAGTATTTCTAAGGTTCCATAGTACTTTTCCAAAGTTTGTCACTCTGTATGTGAACCAGATCGTTAGAAATTCATGAGAAAATAAACTTTAAAGTTTGAAAATTAAAAAAAAAATTCTGTGAGTAAAGAAATACTTCAGATTCTACTGGCAGTTTATTTGACTTCACATCACTTTCTGGCAACTCTAATTAGCTTAGGTCAGCCATGGAAAAGTTCTTGTCTCCCTAATCTACTGACCTTTAAGCCGAGGGAAATGAAGGGGAAGGTTGAGAATCTGTCACCATAGGTCTACAGGTAAAGTCAGAAATCTCATCAGGCAGTGACTCACTTGTGTTAATTAGGGCTTTTAGGGAGACATTTCTTTCTTTTTGTTTTACTCCCAAGTCCAAAATAACAACCCTTAGTGATGTTGAAGTGCTTGCATGAAAACTGTATTTCGGTGACAAAAAAATATTTGTACAAATGGGTTCACTTTGTTAAGTATTTGATGCTTTACTACTAAGTATACAGTACCTAGAGAAAGATTCTTGCGTTTTACAGATCTTACAGAACTTAATGTGGTTTAATAACATTTCCTGTGCTGGCTCTTGAGCTCTTGATGGCATTTACTTTGTGGGGTTGGGGGGTGGGGAAGTGCCTTTTTTTCTTTTTAACTTTTAGAGTATTGAAAATATGAAACCATAGTATAAAATTACATCGTACAAGCTGAAACTAGCCACCAACGTTGACTTAGGAGCTCAAGGCCCGAGTAGTGCAAGAGATGAAGTTTCATGAATGTCCTCCTCAGGGGAGGGTAGTGAGGTTTTTCAGGGCTTGACATCTCTGATTTTGGGCTCATCAGAATATTTAAGTGGCTGCTAACATTTGACATTCTTAGAAACAGAAGTCTTATGTCTGTGTTCCTCCCTGGTAGATGAAAAACTGGAAGAGAAGATATTTTCAATTGGATGAAAACACAATAGGCTACTTCAAATCTGAACTGGTATGTTGCTCCGTCATACATGTTGCCTTGAAATGTTTGAGCAGAGTGTTAACGCGGTGGTGATTTTAAGTGTGTGTATGTGTGTGTGTGTGCGCGTGCACGCGCGTGTGTGTGTGTAGTTTCTTGTCCTGTTTTCTATTTTTAAAAATAATTCTGGTTTTGAGAGGTACATATATTTCAGTTTATTTGGTTGTGATGTTTAAATGGTAATGATGTAAATACATCTTAAATAAAAAGATTATATCTTCAAAGGCATTTCCCCTTGAAAGAATTAAAAATACCAGAACTCCTTAGTCTATAGATTTCCTCTAAAGGGGAACTGGAGGAGATTGTAGGAAGAATTCAGTCTCTAAAAGTCAGCATTTTAACGCTGTATTTCTACAGAGTTGTAAATACAAAGTTTCTGTATTTTCTTCTCTGCCCTCTCTTGATATTTTTTTCCTGTTTCAGATTGACTTTTAAGTTTCCTCATATAAGAGCTTTTTATCCTATCTGAAGGTGGAATCAAAGATTGAAATTCTCTCTTTTACTTGTTTGAGTAACATCCTTATTTAAAATATTCTTCTCACATAGCCCAAGTTCTGCAACAGATTGTTGGATAATTTGAATGCCTTTTTATACCTTACATGTCTGTCCTGGCTCTTCCTGTTTTATGGGACCTTTGAGTAGGGAACATATACTTTATTCGCATGAAGGCACCAGAACAGCCCTATCCAGTAGAACTTTCTACACTGATGGAAATGGTCTATATCTGCGTTGGCCAGGTTTACTGGCTACATGTGGCTGATGAATGCTGAAAACATGGCTGGTATGACTGAGGAGCTTGGCTTTATTCAATTCTAAAATTAAAACCATTTTAATTTAAATAATTACACATGGCTTGTGGTACTGTATTGGACAGGAGAGTATTTAGAGAATAGGAAAGGAATATTTTGAGGTTCATCTCAGGTGTCTGTTCTTCTGCAAGTCTTTCAGACTCTAGATTAAGTGCCTTCTCCCTACACATCATGGTGCCCGTTGCCCACTTGTATCCTAATACCGCCCATTGTGTTTTGTAATTGTATGCATACTTGTCTTTACCAGTTACTTATGTGAGCTTCTTGAGAGCAGAGATCTCTTTTATACCCTTTTTATGAACACAGCACCTGGTACTTGGTAGATAATGAATAAGTGTTTTTGAATATTCAAATGGAAATTGGCATTGCGTAGCAAGAATAGCCATTTTAACATGGGTATTTAGCCTTGCTCAGACGTCAAATTGTAAGAGCCTCAACTGGAAATAGTAGTTACTTGGCTCAAAAAGTATCAGACTTGGTGTCTCAGAAGGCTACACGTTGCCTGATTAGTAGGGTGATGCATTGCTTTTAATAAATGACACTACTCTTAGAAAGAGTCATTAATGCAACAGACATTCGTTGAGCCCTCCATGGCTCTGGTGCCCTCTCCTGGGAACTGGGAACGAAGAGAACAGTTAGTGATGTTAGAAGATGGCCTTCTTGGGACGCCTGGGTGGCTCAGTTGGTTAAGCAGCTGCCTTCGGCTCAGGTCATGATCCCAGCATCCTGGGATCGAGTCCCACTTCGGGCTCCTTGCTTGGCAGGGAGCCTGCTTCTCCCTCTGCCTCTGCCTGCCATTCTGTCTGCCTGTGCTCGCCCTCTCTCCCTCTCTCTCTCTGATAAATAAATAAAATCTTAAAAAAAGAAGATGGCCTTCTTTAGGAGTTCAACTGTGCCAGAGAAACTGACATGTACCCCTATCACCCCCAGTGATTATAACGAGACAAGAACTGTTATGCAAACATTTATTAAATTTTGAAAACCTGCATATAGACATGATGCTATTAAACTTGAGATAAAAGAATACCGAACTAAGAGAGGAGGGAGGGAAGTGACAGCCATGTATATGTAGGACTGTGTTAAGCATTTAGAAAACACAGGTAAAGCTAGAATCTGTAAATATACCAATAGATAAGGGGTGCATTTCCCCCACATTTAACATTTCTGAAATCGTGGGGTGTCTTAGAGTTGCTGCAGGCGAGGGCGGTCGAGCAGCAGTTCTGCGGTAGTTGACATTGCTTGTGTGCACACAGCCCCTTGCGTAAGATCTGAAAACCCCAGCACCAGATCCTGCAGTGAAGAAAATCTCGGGGATACAGTGGGGCATTCTTAAGAGATGCTGCATCCCCAACACTCTTTTTGACACAGAGAATGGTATGGAGTGAGAAACGTTGACACTGTTGGCTCTGAGTCAGAAAGTGATTCGGAAGAGCTGGAATCTGAATGTGAAGTTTTAAAAAACCTTAGCCAATTTGCTTATGTACCTCCATAGGCTCAAGAATGACAGATGATAGGGGCACCGGGGTGGCTCAGTGGGTTAAGCCTCTGCCTTCGGCTCAGGTCATGATCCCAGGGTCCTGGGATCGAGCCCCGCATCAGGCTCTCTGCTCAGCAGGGAACCTGCTCCCCACTCTCTCTCTGCCTGCCTCTCTGCCTCCTTGTGATCTCTGTCTGTCAAATAAATAAAATCTTTAAAAAAAAAAAAAAGAATGACAGATGATAAAAATTGATGTTCAGCGTGGAAAAGGGCTTTTTTATAAAACCTTTTGATCATTTAAAAGTTTAGACAGAAAGTAGATAGAATAGTATTCGGAACCCCTGTATATTCCTTACCTGGATTTTGTAATTATCAACACATGGCTAGTTTTGTTTCTTAGGTACCACCACCCACTCCACCTTCATATTTTGTTGGTTTTTTTGTTTTTAAAGACTTTATTTATTTATTTGATAGAGATCACAAGTAGGCAGAGAGGCAGGCAGAGAGAGAGAGAGGAGAAGCAGGCTCCTTGCAGAGCAGAGAGCCCGATGTGGGGCTCGATCCCAGAACCCTGGGATCATGACCTGAGCCAATGGCAGAGGCTTTAACCCACTGAGCCACCCAGGTGCCCCTCCCCCTTCATATTTTGAAATAATTCCTAGACATAGTATTTTCTCTGTAATTATTTTATGTATGTATTTATTTACATATGTAAATAAATATGTAATTTATTTTATGTATGTATTTCTAAAATAAGAGGAGTTAAAAGCTTTTTTTAGTAGGTGTGGAGGATTTAAGCACACAACTGAAAAACTAGAGAAAATATTTGTAATATATATCAGGGAGAAAACATTAATATCCCTAAAGAATCTTAAAAATTGAGGGGGTCCTTCCTTACCCTCTGCTCTCTTTTCCTCCCATGAGTCCCAAACAATTCAGGCCAACAATTTTTAGCTGAGGCAGATCAATGTAGGTATTCATCTGGTGGGCCAGGAGCAGAAGAACCAGAGTAGCCTGGTGTCAGCATTCACAGGCCAAGAAGGATGAGGCCATCTTCTTGGGGGTTTTAGCCCAACATGGTGTAGGGAGAAGAGCACATCCACACTGGGAGAGAGGGTGGTGGCAGAGATAAGAGAATGTGGACGTGTGTACTTATTGATAAAATAAGGAAATATATTAAAAGCCAAGTTTCTGTCAAAAAAGGGAATAATAAATATGGAAAAGGAGAAAATTTTTATATTAGATTGGAGTTAATGTGAACATTTAACATATGCAGGTAGATGTAGAATTAAATATAGATGTAAATGCATTCATGTGCTTATGTATATATGCATCTAATATACTCTGTAGCTCTGTGCACCTGGAAAAAACCCACCCTTTTCCACTGAAAGGAACCTAGACTCCTGGAGAAATGGTGAGATAACAAAGCTTGAGACAGGAGAAATGAACAGAAACTAAGACTGCGATGTCTTGTATCAGAAAAGAAGTATTCGTAGAATGCTAGGGACATGTCAGAAGGACCCAGAATCCAACTTGAAAACATTGTACTTTATCATGTTGGGGGCATTTTGAGCATCAAAATAAGTAATGTTGGTAACAGATTATTGCCCTTTGAATAAAGTAGGAATCCATGAACCCACATAGATATAAATGAGTGTATGCATGAGTCTGTGTATGTAAGATGAGGAACCAGAGATCACAAAGCTTCAAAGTCCCTGTCTACAAAATACACATTAAGTACAAAAAGGGAAATAGTAACTTTACAGTGATAGAATTACCACTGTAATCTAAAGTCAGATACCTCTCTAATCCAGTTATCAAATGAGTAGAGTGGAGCTCATCAGTGGTGAGAGGAATTAAAGTTATTTACCACCTGACAGGATAGCTTGAGAAGGTTGTGGCCTCATTTCTGTGATGTTCCTGCCAAAGACGCCTAACCTGAATTTAGACTTCAGGAAGGATCAGACACACCGAAATCAGGAACCTTCTCCAGAATAACTGCCCTGCCCTGGAGACTTCAGTAGAGTCAAGACTGTGGGAGTCAAGAACGGCTGAGGAAAAGAAAGATGAAATGAGTAAATGTAGCCAGCAATCCTGAACTGAATTCTTTTGTTTTAATAAAGGACATTCGGGGGACACTTTCCTGATTTCCATGGTTGTATTGTGATAAGAGGATGTCTTTGTGGGAAATACACTGTAAAGTGTAGGGTCATTGGGCCAGGTCAGCAGCTCACTCTGAAATGGTACAGGAAGGTCAGGTCTTTGTGTTGTGTTTTCAGCCTTTGTCTAAGTTTGTGGTTGGTTCAAAGTTTACAGAGAGAAAACCAAGAGAGAAAATATCTGGTAGAAAAAGAACTAAAAGATATGAATAGACAGTTCATCTACGGAGAAACTTAAATGGCCTTTAAACGTATATGAGCTATTCCGCATCACTCATACTTAAAGAAGCGTAAGTTAAAACCTCAGAGAAATATTACTTCTCATCTCTCATGAGAAAGCCATGGTTGAGTGAAGAGATGGGCAGTCCTCTCCCCCCAAAACAAGTGTAAGGGCTATTCTCTAACAAAAGGAATGTGAACTCTTGGAGAGATGGCAGATTTCAGAGGTGGGCCAGGAGGAATAGGACAAGCTGAGCCCAGAAAGTGAATTGTGACAGAAGATAAGGAAGTGGCTCAGAGGATGATGGAGATATGCCAAAAGGACGCAAACCCAGCTTGCAGGGACTTCCAGTGCCCCAAACTCCCACAATTTGTTCACCTACATAAATAATGATAGGAATAAAAATGAATGAATTTTTATTCATTAATTAATTAAATGACTTAAATGGGAGGAAAACCATTTCCTTAGAGCAAAACTCTAGCTACCATATATAGATGAATTGATGGTGTTAGGGGGAAAATCACTGTTGGCAGCTACTGTAGTCATGGTTTCAGGCAAGAATTCTTTGAATTTGATAAAACTAGTAGGCAAAGCAATGAGGGGAAACTAGGTCTTCCATAGGCTCCAAGTATCTTCCCACAAGATGATAACAACAAAGGAGACGAGGATAACTTTCTAGTTACTGGCAAACATGACGGTAAGAGATGAGGATTAACATCCTCGTTATGGGACACACCACTCTCATGCACTCCCTGAGAATGATGGGATGAGAAGAACATATTTCATCGGTGGTTTCCCTCCAAAACTGTACAGCTTGAATCCAAGCATGGTTAACACCAGGCAAGTCCAAATCAAGGGACATTGTACAAAATAACTGGCCTGGACTCTTGAAAACTATCAAGGTCATGAAAGAGAAAAAAAGACAGCAGAACTCTTCAACAGTCAAGGACATGAAGAGACATGACTGTTAAATACAAGGTCTGATTCCATATTGAACCCTGAAGCCGAAAAGCCATGGTTTTCCTGTTTTTGTCGAGGATACTGCTGGGCAGTTAATGAGCTCTGAAGATGGTCTGTAGATTAGATAACAGTATTGCAGCGGTGTGGAATTTCTGGTTCTCCTAATTGTACCAGGTTATGTGAGAGAACATCCTTGTTTTAGGAAATCTGCACTCAAGTATTCAGTAGTAAAGTACATCCTAGCTGTGACTTGCCTTCAGACATTTCAGGAAAGGAATATGTATACACACCATAGTCACATACATAAACACAAACAGAATGATTTAGCAAGGGTAAAATTTTAACATCTTGGAGAACAGGGTAGTACATACACAGAAATTCTTTGTACTATTTTTGTAAGCCTTTTATAGTCTGAAATTATTTTGAAATGAACTATTTTCTAAAACCTAAAGATTCGTGATTTCTTTTTAAAAGTGTTCTGGCATGGTTTAGTTTTTTCTTAGTGCTGCATCAAATAATGGTATGTCTTAAACTTCTGATGTGATATTCAGTGAAATACGGCATATAATATTTCATGGAATGTATAGTATAAATATGCTATTAGGAACTAGTTGTGTCTTGTATCTAGTTTTGTAACCTTAGATGAGGTGCTTAATGTCTGGGGCTCTGTTTCCTCAGGTGAATAGTAGTGCATGCATTGTGGGGTTGTGGAAAGTTTAAGTGAGGTAACGTGTTTAAAAACTAGCAGATGTTGTGGCACTTAGTAAATGTTCAATAAGTTGTGCTTGTTAAAATAATGTATTCATATAAAAGTGATAGTCTTTAAATGAGAAATGTAATTCAAAGAATCTGGGTATTTGCTACTCTGGTGCCTTCTGTATTTAAAAAACATTCCAGAAGAGGAAGCATTACACCTACAGGGTGCATAGGAGTCCCATCAGGGGAAAGTCTGATGGTTTAATGGCTTTTAGTAAGCTCCACTGTCATTAAGACCAGAAATAATGTGAATAAGGGTTATATGCCAGTTTCCTTGTTTCAAACTACAGTGTGTATAAGGTTCTAGTGTTTGGTCTCTTCTGATGCTAGATGGTTCAGGAGGGTCTTAGGTCTTAGGTCTTAGATGTGCTTCAAGAAAGAAGCACAGTTTTCATACGGATCTCCAAGTAAGACAGCTAATTCTTAAAAGGATTTTAAGAACATACCTCATGTATCTGTTTGCTTTTTTGCCAGGAAAAAGAACCCCTCCGTGTAATACCACTTAAAGAGGTTCATAAAGTCCAGGAATGTAAGCAGAGGTAAGCACCAGCTCTCACTTAGTTCCTGGCACAACTTATTAATACTCAATGTTGCCTTAGTTTGATTGATGTGTACAGATGATATTTTTCTGTGTTATTTCTAGGGTTATTTTAAACTCTTATTTGTAGTTGGGATATACTTGAACTTACAAAATCTTCAGATTAAAGTATCGAGATATTTTTTGTTTTATTTGAAAACTGAAAGTTAAGAAACAATCCCTAGGCTTATTAATGGGAAGGAAAATATTTAATATGAACAACTTCTATCATATTTGACAGATTGATGTATTACTTATTTTAGTATTTGGAAGTTGCTACATAATAGGGCATTGTAAGAAAAATGTGTTAACTATGCCAGTGTGTCTTTGAGCAGACTGATTAATTCGCCATTGAAAACTTTGAATTTTATACGTCTTTAGGAATCTTTTAAAAAATATATATATAGCTATATAAAATATGTAAAGAATAAATTGAAAAGGTTGCTAATTTGGTTTTGTTAAATTATACCAGTATTTTACCTCTATTTATTCTCTTACTGACGTATATTTGGTACTAGATAAACAAGTGAAACACACACTATCCAACAACTGCTATTTACGTGCAATTGGACGTTTGTTTTTGTTGACAGTGACATAATGATGAGGGACAATCTCTTTGAAATTGTAACATCGTCTCGAACTTTCTATGTGCAGGTGAGTTTGGAGATTATAGATCCTCTTACCAAGAGACTAATAATTTTGGAGGTGAAGTAAATAAAAATAAACTTGTTGCTTATGTGAATAAGAAAAGAAAAACATGACAGCTGTAATTCACAACTTAAAAAAAAGTTACATGTAAAATTATTGGTAGGTCATTTTAGCAGATAGGGGCACTCTGTTCTGAGTGGCAGAATAGAATTAAATAGTATTTGTGGGAAGGGAAGTGCTGTTTTAATTTAGATGCTAACTTTCAGTTTGGATTATTTTTGCACATATTTTGGAATTTTGATTGTATCATTTTTGGTAATTTTAGAAACCGGGTCTAAAATACCCACAATAAAAACAGACAGTGGAGCCCACAGGTGGGAGACAGGCATCCTGTATTTAAGTTTAAAATACACCTTTTACTTATACAGCAAACTAGTTAGATTGAAAGTTTTTTTTTTCTAAAGAACATTTGTTTTTGTTTTATAAAAGTTACATATGATGATTGCATAAAATTTGGAAAATATAAAAAAATACGAAGAAAAAGATATAAAGCACACAAAATCCCACATTCAGGAAATCATTCTTATTTTAGTGTCTTCTTAAAGGGGTATATTTTTATAACAATGTTCTGTTATGTGTTCTGTTATGTGAATGTTCCGCAGTTCAACTGTTTCTCTGCTCCTCTAACTGGTTATTTACATAGTTTTGTATATTTACTATGATAAATAATGTGGTGGTGAATGTTAGGGTCCGTGATCAAAGGAACGAGACGGATATAAAGCGAAAATCAAACAGAGCTTTATTTCACGCCAAGCATCAAAAATCAAACTGACCGGTCAGGGCTGTCTCTTACGAAAAGACGACGATGATGATTCCGACAAGGTCACTCCCCAGAAGGCCGCTCCGGACGAGGCTGCTCCGCAGATGAGGCCGCTCCCCAGTTGGAGCCGCTCCCAAGAAGAGGCGATGACGACAGCGATGATGACAGGGAGGACAACACCGATGACACAGATCCTGCTCCCCATGACGCCACTCTGACAAGGCTGCTCCGGCGAGGCCGCTCTGGAGGAAGCCTCTTCCCTGATGATGCTGCTCCCGCAGGGCCGCTCACCGAGGAGGCCTCTTCCCTGACGAAGCCGCTCCCCGGAATGACACCGCTCCGGCGAGGCAGCGGCTCAGGGTTCCCGGCGAGGTTGCTGCCGTCTAGGCCGTTCCCTGCGGTGCCGCTGCCGAGGGTTGCAGTGTGTGGGCGGGGTTGCTGGCATCGGGCGCAGGCGTCTCGGGGCGCTGGCGTCTCGGGGCCGCAGGCGTCGGGGTGCTGGTGGCGCGGGACCGCTGGCGGCACTTATAGCTCTTACAAGAGCTGTTACAACTCTTCTTCTTCTCCCGCCGACTCTTCTGCTGCTTCTTCTTCCTCCTTCTCCTTTTCGCCAGCCTCGCAACCAACCTTTATGGGGGTGGTTGAGCCCCGCCCCTACACAGGCGGCCAATTGAATCCTAATTCACCCCGTGGATATACCCACGCCACACCGATTGGACGTCTTCACCCGGCCTGCCCCGCCCCTACTTCCGGGGTCCACAAGCTAGTTCTTCTGAGAGGGGCAGGCCCTTACAGTGAACATTTGTGTGCTTAAGTCTGCCTTGATTTCTTCTTTAGGTTAAGTTTCTAGATCAGGAGTGGCCATCAGAGTATCAACGTTTTTAAACTCCTTTTTTTTGCCACATTGATTTCTAGATTTGTGCTTTATCTTTCCTGATTTGAGTTTTTCCTTTTAAAAGTCCTTGTTATAATCATTGGTTCAAAAGAACATGTTGTGACTTAAAATCTTTGGACATAAGTAAAAGGCAGGATCTCTGTTTAATTGGATTTAAAGTCATAGTAAAGTTTTAAATTCACATTGGGAAGCAAGATCCTATCAAGGAATATGCTACTTTGGAATAGGACTACCAGAGTTTCAGTATTTAGTGTAGTACTAGAAAAGATTTCTAGGAGAGTAATATACAAAATGATGTCAAAATGTTTTTTAACCACACAATTACATAAATACTCTTGTAACAGACAGTATAGCAGTAGATAGAGCAAGATGAGGTTTGTCTTTGACTTCTTCCTCTCATCTTCTCTCCAGAAGTACTCATGTTGACGCTTTTTGATGTGTCTGATCTTAAAATATCAGGTGTCCAACTTTTGTCTCTATAATAACTTATCCTGCAAAACCTGGCTTTAAAAAGTGATTTCTAAAATTTTTTGGAAAGCATTGCCTTGCAATGATTTTGTTGTTGACTCTGTAATTTACCAGAATGGGCACACTGGATCTGTAGACATAGGAACTGATTTTGAGGACGAACTAACTGAATGAGTCCTTTCTCTCCCTTAGGCTGATAGTCCCGAGGAGATGCACAGTTGGATTAAAGCAGTCTCTGGTGCCATTGTAGCCCAGCGGGGGCCTGGCCGGTCAGCGTCTTCTGTACGTTCCCTGTTCTCTGGGGTGATACTCCCGAGCCCCCCCTCCCGCCATCCTGTCGAGTTATTTTCCTTCCTCTCCCCCTAATCCTTCTGGTTTTGTTCTGTATTGAGATTTATTTGCATGTTGACTTTCATACCAATTGGACTTGCAAAAAAATAATGCATTTCTAATTTAATGCTTCCTTGTAGTGTTATGTATACATAACTTTCTGTGCATTGTATTGTCTTAAATGCACAAGCAGGGCAACTAAAGAATGAACATTTCCTTGCTTTGTTTTAGGAGTTCTTACTTGTACAAGGTCTAGATTTGTTACAACTTGACAAATTCTTAGTATGGGATGTGGCCTAATCCTGTAAAGCACCTGAGGTTGTAGCATTACACAGTTTGCTGAAAGCCTCAATTTCCTCTTCACTCCCTCTAATTTTAGTTGAGGATTTTTTTAACTTACTAGTGCCCTAAGACCTTTGAACAGCTGAACCCAGAATTAATACGATTTCCTGTTCTCAGCCACTATTTTCCATTGCATAGTCTCATTTTCATTTTCTGGTAGGGTAATTTAAAAACCTGCCGCTTTTCACTATCAGAATTGTCTTTGTGGTAACATGATAATAAAATTGAAATGTTAAACATTTTCAGAAATAAGAAAAATGTTTTTAACTTATCATGTTTAAGAACATCATAGGAATAAGATTTGGCTTTAGAATACTTTGGTCAGTGGTCTCTCATCTCTACTGAGGAATAGAAAAAAAAATTTTTAAGATTTTTTTTATTTATTGGGATGGGGACGGGGAACACAAGCAGGAGGCACAGCAGGCAGAGGGAGAAGCAGTCTCCCTGCTGAGTAAGGAGCCCAAGGTGGGACTGGATCCCAGGACCCTGGGATCATGACTTGAGCCGAAGGCAGACGCTTAAACTACTGAGCCACCCAGGTGTCCCGAGAAAAAAGAACGTTAAGTGTCTTGAAATGTAGCACTTCTGTCTGCAGAATGTAGTCTCACGTGTAGCATGAAAGCCTTTATTACCTTCTACAAATTTGTTGTTAATGCCAGATGTTCTGCACTTTTGGTATTTTTCTAGTAGTAATTCTGCCTTTAAATAGTTTCCTGGTAGTGATAACTACAGATCAGTAAATACAAGTCCAAGTTTCTCACTTCTTAAGTTACTCTCCTTATATCCTTTTTTGGAATATCTTAGAAGTCACTTTCATAGTATTAATTTTGTAACTGCCTGTGTTTTATGTGACCTTTCCAGCCGCCAGGTATGGGACTCTCTGCAAAAAACAGTGTCTTTGGGAAGAGGAAACACTGGAGAAGGGCACCTGTGTTTTGTGCTTTGTGGTGGGGGCAAAGTGGACTCTGTAACTGTCAGCAGAACTTTCTCTTTTCCTCCCTCTCCCCGGTATAGGTTAACTCTAATCTTAGCTTTGCACTGTGTTCCAGATGCGGCAGGCCAGAAGGCTGTCGAATCCTTGTATACAGAGGTATACATCAAGAACTGGTGAATGCAGCACGTATGTGGGCTCTCACGCAAACGTGCCTTCTTACTAGAGGGCCCGGACTCACTCACTACTTACACCTGATCATAGAAAGTTGAGTTAACCAAACTGCCCTTTGCAGTTACCGTAACTGACTTCGTCGACACTAACGCAAACTATTTCACTGCAGTCATCCGGTTGGATGTGCATATTTAAACAATGATGAAAAAGATAAATCATGAAAAGAATGGAACCTTACTAATTGAAAAAGTCACATTAAGCTGTTTTCTAAAAATTAGTTTCCTGAATTGCCACAAGTTTCAACTTCCGTATTTTATGTATTTTGAAATTTTTTATACTACACCATTTAACCGCACCCTTGTTCTAATAGCATATGCAGACTCGTGCATGCATATACATTGGATAAACTCTACGTTACTATACTTTGCATGACATTTTAAATCTCAGGTGAAATTAAGCCAGCTCCTGGGAATCTATAGTGTTTTGTCAATTTGTAGCACTTTGTTTTCAAGCCACTAGTATCATACGTGAACGCAGTATGCTGAGAACTGTATGGCAATGCATTTGGAATGGTCATATTAAGGATATCCTTAATTAGAAGCAAATTAGAATTAAGATTCACAACTGATAGTTATTTCTCCAGTTTTAATAAGTGATTAAATATGTACCCTTTGCTGCCTTTAAGACCTTTAACCGTATGAATGTATGACATACTCAAAACTAAGAAAGTGCCGTGAAAGGAACAGTGAAAAGACTGCGCCACTACTGGTTGCAGCAAAATTCAGGGATGAGAAACGAAATTTGTCAGACTGTCAGAGAAAACCGTAGGTTTGGAAAACAGTAAGTTCCACTTACTAAAGAAATATGGCCTTTCCTTTTTACATTCTGCATTTTAATTTTTTTTAATCTTCCTAAAATGTGTGGGAGGATTTTCCTAGTGTTGATTGAGAAGATGCTGTTAAATAGGATGGCAGAGCTGCTAGGCCCCCTTCTTAAACACAGTTCGGTTGCAGCTGGAGCCCTGCACCCCAGGGTAGGCTGCCCGAGTCTTCAAGTGGCAAAGCTTTGGTGACAGAACTGGTTTCTTAGTGGAAATGGTTGTCGACTGTCACGGCTTTAACCTCACTTCTAAAAATGCATTGCTTTGGGAAAGAACTTGCACATGTATGCTGCATGGCTCATGCTTCTGCTCTCTCTGTGTGTGTGTGTGTGTGTGTGTGTGTGTGTGTGTGTGTGTTTCGTTTGTTTTTCAGAGAAGAAAGTCTCACACTGAGTTACTAATGCTGTCGTTACTGTTTGCCTGCGTCTGACCACCACCCGTCTTTGCAGGAGCATCCCAGCTGTGCTTCCGAATCCAAACCCGCTTGCCGCTCTGCCGGCGCAGCCGCCAGCCCACATTCCGCAGCCTCTCGCAGCAACTCTTTGGTCTCAAGCTTTACCGTGGAGAAGCGAGGATTTTACGAATCTCTTGCCAAGGTCAAGCCAGGGAACTTCAAGGTCCAGACTGTCTCTCCAGGAGAACCAGCTTCCAAAGTGACTGAACAAGCGCTGCTAAAACCTCGAAGTAGAAATGGCCCTCAGGAGAAGGACTGTGACCCCGTGGACTTGGATGACGCGAGCCTTCCGGTCAGTGACGTGTGAGACGGAAGCGCGTGGAGCCTCACCTGCCTCCTCGGCCCTTCTAGCCAAAGATGATAGAGGACGAAATGGTTTTTAATACACATATTATACTGCCTCTTTGATGTACTCTTTATAAGCTGGTAAACCAAGAATCTAGGGAGTGGCCAAATGTAATTTCTTTAAAAAAAAAACACAACACGAGAAAAAAACCTGTTTCAGTATCAACTGTCTGAAGCTTCGTGTGCTCTCTTTTGGGTGATGAAAATGTGTGTGTGGTATTTTTTCCTAGTGAATTTGACAGTTTAAATGTTTAACAACTTAAAACATTAAAAATGCATATTAATTATTTTGGTTGTTTTTAAAATGCTACTTAGATTTCCTATTAGATGCTTGATATTTACATATTCTTACTGGTGAATATTATTGAATGAAATATTGTCAGACTAAGATATCTAAAATCATGACGTCTGTGGTGCTGTAAAATTTATACTACAGTGTGGACAGCTTGGAAACGATAACCATCTCTGTTGCTCTGGGCGTTGAGGTGAGTGGCCAGTGTTGTGTAGAGGAGATCGTTGGACCTGTTAGTGAGGGTTGTAGGTTGCATGGGGTGGAAATTAGAAGTCACACAGCTGTGTCTTCGACATGAGTTGGAAAAAAACTTGGGACTTGCAGCAGTCTTTGCTTTTATGAAACAGTGAAAATGATTTGGTGTGAAATTTCTGGGTGATCTGATTTTCATATCAAGGTTTTATAAATAGTTCTTATTTCTATATTTGGATCAGTGAAAGACCTCAAGTGTATATGTAAAGACACTCTGCCCTTAGCTGTGTGATTGCAGCCTCCCCTTTTTGTCCCTGATTAACCTCTATTCAAGCGCCTGTGTATTCTCCTCTTGGAGGATGTTGTTGGAATAATGTGCTCAGAAGTCCTACGTGATCGGTTTTTAACATTGGGATAAAATTAATTTTCAGTAGCATAGTTGAATGTGCTCAGTAAGATATCTTCTCATGGTCAAGATGCCAGGATGCTTTTATTCTCCTACGTGTGCAATAGAGATGTTGTAAAACACAAATTGGAGTATATGTTTAATCACAGGGATATCGTAAATGTCAGCACCGCTCTAAAAACCCTTAGTTTCAAGCGTTGAGTAATAGACCAGTTTGAAGTACCATTTTTACAGTTGAGTCTTAAACATTTGCTTTAAGAAACTAGTCTTGAATTTCACATGCTGCTATTTTTATGATATTTTACCATCTTACTGTGCTGTTTTGTTATGAATTCATATGTGTCCCTTTTTCTCCTTTGCATTTTCTAAGATGATGTCTGGTTTGAGAAAAGGAGAGAGATTTCCTACTACAGTGGTGGGGTCCAGAGGTTACCATCTGTTATAGGGGAATTATGGAATCAGTTTAAAAATCTAAATGCATTAAGTGCACCACTCAACTTTTTTATTCATAAGCTAATATTTTAAAAAGTTATATTTCTATTTTTTCCTTTTTTGCAGCTACATTGGAAAATGGTAGATGGAAAGTTTTAAGTAGCTATCACTTTTTCTGCCAACGTATCCATTATAATGGCTCTTTTGAAAGTTACTTTTTCATGAACACACCTAAGAAATCCTGTGTAGACAGTTTGCAATATTTAGGAGCCTCATGCTTTTTTCTTTGGTACAGCTTCTACATTGCATGTTCATTTCAGCATATTTTGGTATTGGTAATTTGATATATTTCATAGTGGCAAAATACTGGTTCTATTTTGGGACTTTTTATAGAACTGCCCTTGTATTAAGTAGCATAGGAAAATGTTCTTGTGATTGTCAGGGTCTCCTCTAATATTTATCTCAATACTTTTATAATTCTATGAAGATTATTTAATTATTTTAAAACTTATACTTTTCTTGTAAATATGTCACATCTGAATTGTCAACAAATCACTTTGAATACCTTAATATTTGCTGCATTTTTTTTCTGTATATATAACATGTCTTCTTTCAGAATGGGAATGTACGTGTGCTTCCCAGTGTTTACTTTTATGTCTGTTATCTTTATAATGTCAAACTGGTTGAACACTGTAATGACTTGAGAATAAACTCAAAATTCTAACTTACTTCTCATTTGGTTTGGTTCCGCTCTGGTGTGAACAGGTAGTAGAATTAGTAGAAAATATGGGTGATTGACTGGAAGTTACATATTTAAGGACAGACTAATTATTTGGTAACCTTTGAAAGGCATAGTTTGATATATCTGTACAAGGAAAGATGATTGGTTTTGGAAAAAAGGGCTTGCTTATTTTGCTTCACTAAAGCAAAAGAAAAACATGTCCTCAAAAGTACTGTGACACATGTTAGCTTCAAAGCATCTCTGAATTGTCCAGGCTGCTTTTGCTCTGCTTGGTTACTGGTTAGACTGGACATGGCACGACCAAGGAGGGGGAGGACAGAGGGCGTTTTGATTCTCAGAGGGGCCGTTGTCATGTTAGAGGTTATTTTTTTCAGACCCACTATTGGTAACAGAGAGTCCGTATCTGCTGTATAGGCAGCATCGAATAATGATGGAATTGGATGAAGGCCATCTCTTAGTAATCTTTATTAACTGGTGCAACTTAATTTTCTTTCCCTGAAAAGTATTTTAAATGCTTTTTATTTTTTAAAAAGACCCAAAACAAGAAAGTTCTAAACTTTGTTGCTTTCACAAAAATAGAAATCCCTTTCTCAGCCTTTTTTTTTTCCCCTTCTAGCTGCATTTCGGGAATTTTCTTTAAGTGGTTCTTGTACTTTTATCAAAACAACAGTAGGTGAGGCAGGAAATACTTGTATTAAAAAGTGCAGAGACATAACGAATTAATACCAGATTTGGTAAGAATTTTCCTTGTCTTTCTACGGGTATGACAGTCTACATCAGACATGATGAAAATACACTTGATGAGTTTGTATTTTCCATTTGCAATCTTATCCATGTTATACAGACCCCAAATTAATTATTTGTATATTTTTATTTTTTAATGATTTATGAAATTATATTTTTGCAAACCTCATCTAAGACCTACTGAAAATATTACTGAATTGGGGTTAGCATTTACAGTTTTGATTGATAAAATTAGTATTCCATTTTCCGGACATTTAAAGTGAGTAGTGCCTTACTATGTGACCATAGTCACATAGTCACCACAGGACTACGGTCATGTGGTAACAGTGCCACCTTCTGGTTATGTCATTGCTAAATTTAAAGTTATTTGTAGTCTAGTTCGCTTTATTTCACTCATCATGGAAATTAGGGAAGATACGTAATTGCATAGGATAACTTCTTTAAACTATTCGGAGAGAATTACAGATTCACGTGTAGTTGTAGGAGTTCTTGTGTATCTTTTATTCAGCCTTTCCCAGTGATGATATGCTGAAAATCTGTAGTAAAATATTATAATGAGGATATTGACAAATACAGTCAAGATACAAAATAATTGCATCATCACAAGGACCTCTTAATGATGCCTTTATAGCCACACCTGCATCCCATTTTACAGGTTTGGTAATGAACTTGGTAATATTAGACTTAAGATCCAATTCTTTTGGGGGCAGCTGGATAGCTCAGTCAGTTGAGCATCTGCCTTTGGCTCAGGTCATGATCCCGGGGTCCTGGGATCGAGCCCCGAGTTGGGCTTCCTGCTCTGTGAGGGAAGCCTGCCTCTCCCTTTCTCTCTGCCTGCTGCTCCCCTGCTTGTGCGCTCGCTCTCTCTCTCTCTCTCTCTCTCTCTCTCTCTCTGTTAAATAAATAAGTAAAATCTTAGAAAAAAAAAAGTCCACAATTCTTTTGATACCACAGTTTGGGTTCTCAACTGTTACGGTGTTAACTGCCTTGGTAGAAGTCTCAAAAACTATTCTTTGTTTATTTTGTCCTATCTCCAGGCTATTAAATGAGTTTAACTTTCATTCAATCTCTTTTTAATAGTTCCCAGAACCATACTATTTCAAATGATAGAAATTTGAAAATAATAATTTCTTTATATATACATTTAAATTTAGCACTTGAGAATAGTATGTTAAGTATCCTGGTCACAACCTCCCTGAGAGATTTTAAGCCCTGACATTTGACATCGTATAAATTTAATAAGATTACCAGAATAAGGACTATAAAATCAAATTGTTTTAGGATGACAAATTCTTGCATTGGAAATAGTTGTAGGGACTGGTTCTAATCACCTGTAGGATGGGAAGCTTTTGACCTAATACAAGATCTTGGGCAAATTGCGGTCTCTGGTGTATGATAGGCGATTCCCAGGACACCTATGAAGATCATGTCCACAAGGAATCCGTGGAGAGAGAGAAAGTGCCGTAAATAGTAAGTGTGGAAGCCTGCGGCAGCATGGAAATCCACACGGGCAGAGGCTGGCGTGGCCAGGGAGCGAGGCACTGGGTGACCAGCGTTGTGCTGGAAGGGCCTCCGCAAGGTCCCGGGAGAGAAGAAGGAACTCAGAGTGAAAACTACGTGACATGACAAGTACATTCCCAGATGCTGATTTGGGATTTGAAGGGCCCAAACTGGTACCAAAATGTAAACATTCTCTTCAACGTTGTTGCCTCCTCTCCCTCCCTCCCAAACTCTGCCCCTTGGACCAGCCGCACTAGCTTTCTTCAGCATGTGTGTGTGGTGGGGGCCGCGGGGAGAGGAGCGGATGGGAAATGTGGAGAACTTCCCATGATTCAGAAAGTTGCCGCATCAAAGCCCATTTTCGCCTGCCTCTGGTACCTTCATGAGGTGAAAATCTGCTCCCTCTGGAATCTTACTTACTGTTTCCAAATAGGGGCCCCTGGTCCCAGTGGTATGTGTTCCTTTGTGACTTTGGCATACACGGTGTTCATTGTCTTGGTTGATGTCACTCGTGTTGTCCGTCCATCCTTCTCTGCTTTGGCCCGTCTGATTACTACTCTGCAGAGTTGGTGCTTCCCTTAGGGTTGCCCTCTGAACCTCTTGCGGGAGGGCGTATCCGACGATCTCCCATTTCCTCTATGAAAATGGATATGCTTGGGTTTTCTGTCTTACCTAGACTCAGTTCTGACACGTTACATTCCTAGACAATGATACATTCTACGTTTTCAGATGTGTTTGCATGGAGCTGAGCAAAGTACGGAGTGCAAGAGCTCACGTCTTCAGCTCAGATGTACGAACAAATGTGAACAAACCACACAAATGGTTTGTATGGCACATGGCGCTTTCATCAGTGTCTTACCTCGTGCCACGGTGCTGACAAACACACACTGACATCGAAATAGAGTGGTAGCATTCAGGCATAAGGAGACCATCTAGATCCATTTTAGGAGTTTTTTTTTTTTTTTTTTTTTTTAAGATTATTTGAGCCGGGGGAAGTACATGAGCGTGCAGGCAGAGGCAGAGGGAGACAGAATCATTAGCAAATTCCCCATGCCCAGCGCGGAGCTGGATGTGGGGCTCGATCTCATGCCCCTGAGATCCTGATCTGAGCCAAAATCGAGTCCCCACACTTAACTGACTGAGCCACCCAAGTGTCCCCTTATGAGTTATTTAAAAATTAAATTAAAATTCAAGTGCGAGATGTAAAATTTCTCATAAAGCACCTGTGATCTCTGGAAAGCAAGTTTGAGTTCTCTGTTTGCGAAACACTCATATGAACGGTATTTAAACTGTTAATTTCTTAACAGCTTAATCTCACAGCCCTTCCACCTTCTCACACAGTGCTTCTTGTATACCCCACGTCCCAGAGCAACTGAATCGTTCTCTGTTTGCTGGTTTCCCCACCTCTCTGCCATAATTGTCGCCGCTCTTTACAGAAGGCCAGTGTCCTGGTCGTCTTGGCTTTGTACTTCCACTCGTCCTTTAGTTCGCGCTAACGTGCAACTTTCTCCTTGAGGCGTTGGAATTGCTTTCTCAGTTTTCCCACAACATAAGCCATGATGACCCCAGAGTACCCGATTCCCTCGCCCTCCCCAGGCCAACATCCGCTCAGTTACTTGCAGCTGGAATTCAGCTGAAGCTCCTGCCTTTTAACTCCGGGCTGACTAACGAGCTTTTCTCTCTCTCCTGGAGTCCCTTTTAAAAACCAATGACTTCAAAATTGGAAGAGGTTAGGAAGTGGAAACAGCCCAAATCTAGCTCTCTGTTGATTAGATAGGCCCGAAAGGGCCGTCCATGAGATGGGAAGTGGGTTTCAGACCCGCTGCTAGGAACGACCTCTCCGGGCAAGGCCTTCACGCACGCAGAAGTTTGGACAGCTGCTCACAGCTGTTGGAGGGCCGCAGGCCCCTTGCACACACATGCACGTTCCATTTGACATTCAATTTGACGCCCCAGACAAAATAATGTAAAAGGCACCTGACATTCCCACACTTCGCTTTGTTCCGGACGTGCCTTTGTGTTTATTTACATGCGGGCATAAGCATGTTTATGTATTTGGGACAATGTGATGCAAGCTTTTTTGTAGCCTTCCTTCCACGCCACAAAATATCACAGACACCTTCACGTATCAGTGACTATGGAGCAACCCCACTATGTCTTGAGGTTTAAATCTTCAGTTGTGTATCTCTATAGAAAATTCTCAACCCATTCCTTCACTGGACCTTTTGGTTGTTTCCAACTTTTTGCCATTCTAACGATGCCGCAAGCTGGGTCTTTGCCTCCAGGGCTGGTGCCTCCCGGCCGGGTGTGCATGTCTCACACCTGGTCCTGCCGGTCTCCTAGGACGGATGTGTGTCATTTCTGCTCCCGCCGATAGTGCGTGAGACCAGCCCATTTCCTCGTGTCCTGGGCAGTGCTGGAGTCCGTCATTTCTGGCAGTCAGATTTGAAAGGATATCTTCTTGTGATTTCAATTTTATGCTTCTTTGAAAATTATGGGAAGTCCAGGTTTTTTTAAATGTTAATTGGCCACTTCTCTTTGTCCTTTTTGTGGATTGCCTGTGTTTGTCCTTATCTATGTTTCTTTTTTTTTTTTTTTAAGATTTTTTATTTATTTATCAGAGAGAGAGAGAGGGAGAGAGAGCGAGCACAGGCAGACAGAATGGCAGGCAGAGGCAGAGGGAGAAGCAGGTTCCCTGCCGAGCAAGGAGCCCGATGTGGGACTCGATCCCAGGACGCTGGG